AAACGTCTCCCGCCGTGCCAGACTCCTCCTGCTGCAGCAGCGTGTGAAGGAGGAGGGAGGAGGATGAAAGCTACCCATCCCCCCTCTATGTGTCAACCATAATTAACTCTCCCATTGTTGCTCCACTTTGCTGATTTTGCCAGGCAGCGAGGAACTGAAACCGCAGCACCCTGCTTGGCTGCTGTGAAGAGGCCATCAACACGTTAGTTTGTTCAGTGGTTTATTCGGTCTTCAGCTCCCTCAGAGTGGCTGCAATCAGCGAAGCACCCGGCTGAGCGAGCGCCTGGCTGATCACACAGCTGCTGCACCTCTCAACATGTTCATTTCCCGAGTCTGTGAGTAAAACAGCCGCTGGTGGAATATCACGAATCACCACTAAAGCAAAACGGATGCTTTCGCCTTTGTCTGTATTTGTGTGCCGTTTAAAATAACTGCTGACGGTAAATAATCAAATATCTCAGTAACATCTCCTCTGCACAGCTGATTTTCCCAGTCGCATTAAAACAGACACCATCACATTACAACCAGTGTTTATTTGAGTTATGCGGTCTCACAAGGCATTATATGTACAGCAAACTATCCACTGTTACACATGATGATAGGCTCACTCCATGCCACAAGTCCGCTGGGACAGAAACAACAGCATGAAAACACAGCTGGAACATAAACCCTGGTGCCATGCACTAATATACACCATCAGCTGAGGGGGGGCAATCACACTCACTCAGTCTGAACATTTTTACGCCACATGAAACATGAATATTACACACTTAGATAATGTTATAAACAATGCATTAAGAACAGTAACATCAACAAGAACAAGAACAGTATTAAAGCTTTTTATGACCATATCAACATTCAGTGAATTGGAAAATACAATCCCAATAGACTCTGTATAAAAAGAAGCTTTTCAAGTCAGCATGGAACAAATAACAGTTCACATCTCAGGTCTGGGCGACGGGGACGTGTGTGCTTCCATAGATTCCAGAGGAGAAAGTGTGTGTGTGTGTGTGTGTGTGTGTGTGTGTGTGTGTGTGTGTGTGTGTGTGTGTGTGTGTGTGTGTGAGAAACCAGTGCTGGTTTATGTAGCGTAGCGTTTGGTCCACTGTTTGGCTATCCTGTCGTGTTCGGCTCTGTTGGTCAGGTACTGTGTGGCGATGCTTCCCACCAAAGGGTCCGCTGGAACACAAGAACCAAGAGCGAAGTCAGAAACTGTGTGTGTGTGTGTGTGTGTGTGTGTGTGTGTGTGTGTGTGTGTGTGTGTGTGTGTGTGTGTGGGAGGGGGGGTGTTGAATTAAGGTTTTGCTTGAATCTTTGACTGCAACATATCATTGGAATGACAAGAACCCTATCTTTCAAATGATATGTAATATCTATATGTACACAGAACAAGTACTGCAAAAAAGGTGCTGATTCAGCATAGAAGTTTGCAATGCCCCATCTGCCAGACATAAAATACCGCTCATAAAAAATGATATGTGAAGAGCTTGGCCAATCACCGATGGTCAAATAATTCATCCAGTTGCCCAACCTTAATCACCATCTCTCTCTATTTCTACCTTTACCTTTGCATCTCTCTTATTTCTCCATCTCTCTAAACCTATATCAAGCCCTTTCCATTTATCTTTCCATTTCGTTATCACCATCTCTCCCTCTACATTCTAATGCACAAAATGCTCCATTAAATTCATTATTAGGCTAATTGATGAATAGACAGCAATGTGTAATCTCTAAATTATGAAGTGCCCTCTCGTTTGCCTCTTCCCTTCACGATGCACCTCATAAACACCTTGCTGCTGTATAATGATGCAAATATGTACAAACAAACAAAAAAAGAGTTAAACCTTCAGAAGAATCTCCCAGTGTTTATTCCCATCCAGTGATCTGGTCTGAACTGGACCCGTGTAATAACATTTATTGTTATATTGGATGTTTTGTATTATATAAAGTCAAAAATCATTATAAAGTCATAGTGGCAGGCTGAGGTACCAAATATGCAGCCACTGCTAGATTGTCACCAGCAGCGTTGACATGTAGGTTTTGATGCAGAAGCGGGCGGGGCAATTTAAAGGAGCAGGAAGTGATGCGTTGTTGCTTTGATCTATCACAGTTTCAAGTGACAGTGTGTATTTTACCTGGCGATAGGGGGCAATAGTTACCTAAGTTGTTGCAAGCAAGCAGTATCTTTGTGTAGGAGTTTGACCTTACCAACGGATGCCCGTTAGGGTCAAAAAGCCCTGGGGAGTGCCAACTTCGGCTTGCTACCAAGCACATCAGACTTTCCCGTCAGAGGTACAGAGGTAAATGTGTAAAACAACATTTAAGAATGACGAAAGTTTTGTAATCGTTTGTTACAAATCAGTAAATGTATTTTGTCCTCATGGGCTCCCGTAGGAGGAAACATGGCGTCGCCTAGAGACTTAGACCCACTCCCATGTATTTTAGACCTGATTTTTATGGTTATATGTTACAAAGCCACCAATATTTTTCAACAACTGGGAATCATTTCATTCATTTTCAACAACATTTTGATGGATGTTTCCAGAAATTTATGGTAAAAACTACACATTGTCTCTTTAAACTTGGAGCCTCGCCTCTGTCAGTGCGCCCCAGGGCAGCTGTGGCTACATCGTAGCTCATCACCATTAGTGTGTGAATGCGTGTGTGAATGGATGAATGATACACTGTAGTGTAAAGCGCTTTGGAGTCCTTACTCTGAGAGGCGCTATACAAGTGCGGGTCATTTATCATAATAATATTTTAAACCTCATTTCTACTTATTATTGCAAACATCAAAGGGCAAAACTCAAGACAATCCATCAGTCAAGCTAACAGAGGCTAGAGTCAGAGAGAAATATGAGCCGACGCTCACCAGGGTTGCAGTCGGTGAGCAGGGAGCAGATGGACAGGAGAACCTTTGAGATGGTGAGGGCGGGACTCCAGTTGTCCTTCAGGATGTCCAAACAGATCACCCCCTGACTGTTGATGTTGCAGTGGTAGATCCTCGTACGAAACGTTACCTGGAAGAGACAATCCAACATGGATGACCAATGTTAGGCTCTGGGGGTAAATTTTCTCTGTATAGTAAACATTCATGATTTATGACTCAGTAAACGCGTAAGAAAGGAATTTTTAAAGGTTCCATATCTTATCATATTAAAGCTTTGAGAGCAAAAACAAGCACAGAATATAAATATAACCGTTGGCACTATTGAGATGTAGTTTATCTTAAATACGAGTTATTTTAGTCAGCCTGAATGTAAACCTGGAAATAAAATGGTTTGTTTCAGTTTAAGCTCCGCCCACGCCCGCTTCGAGAAAACGCCCCATCACCGGACCAGGTTCACCCCAAAATTCCACTACCTCCGCTCCGGCACGAACGCCGTAGCAAAATCGGTCCCATTGTAGTCAATCAGAGCTGTTCCACTACTGCGGCCGTGGGGTGCAGTGTGCCGCCCGCCGTTCCGCCTTCCGGCAAAAATAGGATCGATTCTATTTTTGCCGGACGCCGGAGCACCTCCGCAGTCAATGGACAGAAATCACAACCGCCCAACAGGAAAGGGAGCAAGCACAACTTCCGTTATTTCACAATAAATCGATAAACAAAAGGCGTTTTTTGTTTCATATGCACAGGTTTAACAACTTTTAACAACTATCAATGGCGGTTGAACTTTAAATGCACAAAAATAAGCCGTAAATACAGTTTCCACTATCAAAGTAGTCGCCCTTTGTTGATCCAAACACTGCTGATCTCTCAACACAAATGATGGGCAGATTAAACAGTTCGTTTCGATGCTTCTCCCACACAACGGGTGTTTGGATCTAACTTCCGCGTTTATTGCTCGGACTGTATCGCAAGATCTCGAAAATCCCGCGCATGCCTGTTTGCGCACCTCATGTCTCCGCACCGGAGCGGAGCCGTTGTAGAGCGGGTAGCAGTAAAAATTGAGTTCGGAAGCGAGCGGCTGCGGAAGGCGGGGGCGGAGATGAGCAGAGCAGAGGTAGTGGAATTTTGGGGTGACAGGGAGGAGAAATGTCTGATGACACAAGTGGGCTAGTATCTTCTGAATGCTGAATGCAAACTGAAGCTGAGGCAGGAAAATGCAGCCAAAAACTGGTTTGGGAGTATTTGTCATGAGGAAATGACAATATCACACGGTAAAAAGCTCCAAAAAGTGGATTTTCCATGATATGGCTCCTTTTAATATCTTTAACACAGAAACACTTCAGAGCCATTTAAATGTGTTTTGTATGACTTGATTTCCCCCAACTGTGCATGCAAATTTAACAAGATGCATTTTAAACATTACATGGATGAAACCACTAAACGAAGAACAGATGTTAACATATTGTAAAGCATAACATGTATCCAATAAAGTTCTAAATTATTGAAACATTATGTTCGCGACAAATCACAAATCTCTGAGTTGAGCTGGATTATACTGACCAATAAATAGTAAAAATATTAAAACAAGTAGATATGATGAAGTCCAAAAAAGAATGATTCTGTAAACAACTGCTGGCTTAGATGAGCCAAGTTGATTTTGTACTAAGTGTGAAGACAAAGCTAGAGGTCCCCATTGACTTGAAGTAGTCAACACTTAAGTAAAGAGTCTGGAGCACCCAGGGGAGCCTAGAATAAGCCCAGGAGTCAAGAAGTCACCTTTGACCTTTATCCAAGAAGTTGCTGATTTAGAAAAGTTCCTTTCTGTCTAATCAGTTTCAGCATTGTGTCTTGGTGCTTCTCATTAACTTTCCTGCTAGGAACAAATAAACCCTGCTAGTGATCCAAACCCTCTTTTCTCCACCTTTAATGGTACAGAGAGGGAGGAGGCAGGCAGCCAGAACCGTTTCTGGGTCGCTCTTCTAAAGATCAAGGCATTTCCAGAGATGTGAAAATGAAAGGCAGGAAGCAGGAGGTGATTGATGGTTGAGTGAACGTCTCATGGATGAACAGGTCTGCTGTGCTGCTGTATGCTAACCGTACCAGAAAATCAGAAGAAAAAGAAAATATCATTTCTATAGCGCCTCTCAAGGTAAAAATCACGAGGCGCTTCACAAAAACGAAAAATGTACAAATATAAAAAAGAACTTAGAAAATGGTTAAAATATATTTAAAATGAACAAAAAATAGACAATTGTGATTAGAAAATGTTAAGAAAGAGAGAGAGGGGATAGGAAAGAGGGAAATCAGTGGATCCTGAGGAAGGTGGAATAGGTGGGGAGAGCAGAATAAAGAGAGAGGGGATGAAGAAGGTCACACAAAAGCCAGCTTGAACAAGTGAGTCTTCAGCTGCTTTTTAAAGGAGACCACTGAGTCCACTGATCTCAGGCTCAGGGGGAGAGAGTTACAGAGTCTGGGGGCCACAGCAGCAAATGATCTGTCACCTTTGGTCTTTAGCCTGGTGCTGCACAACCAGTAGGCTTTGATCACTGGACCTCAGGGACCTGCTGGGGGTGTAGGGACTAAGAAGATCACCAATGTAAGATGGTGCTTGTCCATGTAAGGCCCTATAGACCAGAACCAGGATCTTGAAATGAACCCTGAAGTTGACTGGCAGCCAGTGAAGCTGGAGGAGAAGCGGGGTGATGTGGGTGTGTTTGGAGGACTTGGTCAGAAGCCGAGCACAGGCATTCTGAACCACCTGTAGACGGTTCAGGGAGGTTCTGCTCAGACACGTGAAAAGAGAGCTACAGTAGTCTAAGCATGAGGAGATGAAGGTGTGGAGAACAGTCTCAAGTTCAGAGCGGGACAGAATGGGACTCAGCTTAGCAACGTTCCTGAGATGGAAGAAGGAAGAGCGAACAAGAGAACTGACATGAGAATCCAGGGTGAGAGCTGGGTCAAAGGTCACGCCAAGATTCCTGACAGAAGGTTTGGTGTGAGAAGCAACCTGACCAAGAGAGTCTCTGACTTTGGGAACCAGCTTGTCTGGGGCACAGATGAGGATCTCAGTCTTATCTTCATTCAGCTATAGAAAGTTCCCAGCCATCCAGGTTTTGATAGAGTCTAAGCAGGTGTGTAACAGCTGCAGCTTAGACATCTCATGGGGCTTAATGGAGATGTACAGTTGGATGTCATCTGCATAAAGATGGTAAGAGATTCCTTTGAAAGAGCTCAGGATGTGCTGAAGAGGAAGCAGATAGAGGAGGAAGAGCAGAGGCCCCAGCACAGAACCTTGTGGGACACCATGGGTGATGGGTGAGAGGTGGTGGAGGACCTAAACTTGGAGACGGCCGCAGAAAAGGAGTGCTCAGAAAGATAAGAGGAGAACCACTCCAGAGCAGATCCTGATAGGCCTACCCAGTTTCTCAGCCTCTCCAGTAGCAGGTGATGGTCAACAGTGTCAAAGGCTGCAGTCAGGTCCAGCATTACCAGAACAGAACAGTCTCCTGCATCACTGTGGGTCAGAAGGTCATTAGAGACCCTAAGAAGAGCTGTTCAGTAGAATGAGCTCTACAAAAACCTGACTGTAAGCAATCATAGATGTTATGTTCATCAAGAGCAGCTGTGAGTTGTTTAGCCACAACCTTTTCCAAGATCTTGGAGATGAACGGAAGTTTAGAGATGGGTCTGAAGCTGCTGTGGAGAGAGGGGTCGAGACTCGTTTTTTTAAGAAGCGGGTGGATTACAGCATTCTTAAAGTAAGCAGGGACCTGACCAGAGAATCATTAATTATAGAGAGCACGCTGGGACCGATGGACTGAAAAGCACTTTTAAACAAAGATGAGGGTAAAGCTGGGCGGACACTGTGCGACTTTTTCACTCGTAGCACTCAGCTTCAGCTCAAACTGTACGACTTCCTCGCAGGGCAGATCTCACGAGTCATGTGCTCACACTGTAAGACCCAGTTCTCAGATGCAACCTGACTGCTCACACTCTACGTCTGGTAGCAACACGTCGGACCTAAAATATATGCTAAAAATAGCAGATTTTACTCAACACGTCAGACTTTTTTGTCTTGATTTGCCTGTTGTCCTTCAGGAGTGCTGCAGGAGGACACACAGGGATTTATGGGGGCTGGATGAGGAAAATGAAATAAAGTAAATCTCTGTTTTGTGATCAGTTTAATTTGACATGAACACGACAAACACGCTTTCTTGTGAGTAAAAAAAAAAACGTGTAGAAACAAAAACGAACGTGTGTTATTAGGGAAATAGCGGGCGAGCGGTGTTGATGCATGATTGCGCATGCGCCGTGAGCGGTTCTGGTACTGGTGGCAGCCGCTCGCTACGCCATTTCAACCCTCACGAGGGACAAGCAAAATATCAAACACTCCAGAAGTCCGTGTGAGCTCACGATTGCTGATCGGTAGCTGGTCACGTGGTGTTAATCGCCTCTCGTAACCCCCTGTACACTACACGACGCTCGGTGCAAAACTCGCCCCGATCTTGTGGATTCTCGCACGAGTGGAAAATCGGCTCAAAAAAGTGAAAAATTCGCACAGTGTACGCCCGGCTTCAGATGTCGAGGGGGCATGCAGAGGTCTTCATAGAGTTAAAGGGGCATTATGGAAGTTTGACAGTCATAACATGTATAGAAATAATAACTTTCTTCTTCATACATTCTCCTGCAATGCCCTGGTCCTGTAGAATGAGCCCTGGCATTTTTACTGTGATTGCCTGTTTTTCTGTAAAATCACAGAAAAAGAGAGATGCTCAGGTCGAGCAGGCTGCTTCATGCGCGTTCACGCTCAGGCATAGCTCGTAGCATTTGCTATCTGTAGCTTTAGCAGCAGAGAGAGAGGTAGTGCCAACTCAGCAACTTTGTCGCTGTTCCTAACGCCTAGTGATGAACCTAGCTACATTTCTGAGGACCCTTAGCTACTTTCTTCTAGATATTTCCTGCAAATTAGCAACAAAATAGCCATTTTTGCTCCGAGACGTTCTTTGAACGTTGTTTCAGCTATCATCAAGGATATAAGAGCTACAGATACAAAAGACGTTATTGGTGATTTAGCTCACCTAGTAAGACGTTAGACTCTCGTGCTAAAGATCCGGGTTCGATTCTGGATGTGAACATAATTTATTTAGAGTTTATTTTTTTTACATTAATGGTATTTTTTTTACAGTAAGATGCCCAAATTTTTATTTGAGACTCGCCGAACGGCATTGAATTCACAGATAAAAAAAAGATGTGGGTTCAACTTTCATTTTGGAACAATTTTTCAAGCAAGGGAAGGGAATGAACTGTGAAGCTGACGGACTGACCCATCTTAAACCTTTGTCGGCTGTGCTGAAGAGAAAGGTACAGAACCAAATTATTTAATTAACTAGCTGCACGTTCTCCTGTCCTCTGTCCTCCGAACGCCCCCCCCCCCACCACACACACACACACACGGGACCGTCTCAGCTGTTATTTTCGTTAAGGAGTGTGCACGTACAGCATGCGTGCCTCGTCCACGAGCCTACTATTGAAGCTGCCGTTACACTTTTGGCCTGAGGGGGCAATCACGAGCATAAAAATTCAAAACTCCGTAAAGTCCCTTTAACTAGTTTGGTTAACTCAGTCAAAGAAACAGGAGCAAATATATCTAGGATGATGGGCCTGGTTGGAGTAGAGGCAGCGATAAGGCTGAAGGAGAGATGCTAGATCTAACCTTATTGACTTTGTCCACAAAGACAAAAAGTTCTCACAGTCTGCAACAGAGTGGATGGAGGCTGTAGGAGAGGCAGGGGAGACGATGCTGCTGATGGGTGTTAAACAGCACCTTGGGGTTCACTTTGCTCTGGGACACCAGGTTGGAAAAATCGGAAACCCTAGCGTCTCTGACTGCAGAGTTAAAGGATGTCAGAAGATCCTTTAGGTGCAGCAAATGGACGTGGAGATGGGTTTTCTTCCAAAAGTGCTCAATTTTTCTGCATTGGCGCTTCAGGCTGCGAAGGCTGTCATTAAACCAGGGAGTAGGGTTCACTGCAGGAACTGATCTGGTTCTGACAGGACAGATGTCCAGAATGGAGAGGCAGTGCTCGCTAAACTGAGAAGTTAAGGAGTCTGGGAACATTATCAGAAGAACAGGGTGGATCAAAAGCAGCAGAAATATTGCTAGCTGTGCTCTCATTAAGAAAACGAGAACTAACCGTACGGCGAGCAGGAGGTGGGGACGCAGAAACTGACAAGTTAAAGAAAATGCAATGGTGATCTGAATTATAAACGTCCTCAGGACAAACACTGTCAGCATTTAGACCCAGGGTAAAAGCAAGATCCAGAGTGTGCCCCCTGGTGTGTGTGGGGCCAGAAACATGCTGGGTAAAGCTGAAGGAGTCCATAAGGCTGGAGAAATTCATGGCAAAGTGTTCTGAGGGATCATCAACGTGGATGTTAAAGTCACCAACAATCACCAGTCTGGACAGCTTCACAGTGGAGGATAGAAAGTCACTAAACTCCTGAAGGAGTTCACGTGATAACAAGCAAGGAGAAACATCAACATGTATCGAAAAAGCTTTGTAGCTTATTTCCTGTTCTGTGTACCTTGGCTTCAGAGGGTTCACAAGAAGTGACATACGTTTTCTACTAGTTAAGCAACTGGAAATCTGCATGTGACTTTTATTTTGAAAGTTTACACAATATTTGTGTTTGACTTCCTGTCTGATTCGATCTGAACTGTGGAGTTCGACGCGTTCTGGAAGCGTAGCGTTGACAAAATAGGCTCGAAACTTAAGCAACACGTCCCTACGCTCCTAGGGCGTGTTCAAAACGCGACGGTTCACAGCGAATGGAAAGGCACCTGTCTGCTATAACGGTGGCCAATTGCTGTAAAATACATTATGCAACCATTACACAACAATTTGCATCCGTTGGAAGGGAGGGGTTAGAGTATTTACTCACATCAGCCAATAGGGAAAGTTTCATGGAAGTTTCTGAAGTAATTTAGCCAATTCAGGCCCCCATACCTATCACCTGGTCACTCGAGAGGTTCGGCTCATTCATTCACAAACAAGAAAATGACTACATGAATCTGTGGTCTCCGGGTCTGCAGCTGTGTACTATTGTGGAATTCACATGGGGAGGGGTGGGGTTTGATCTAATCTAAGCACCTTATTTCAGGGTTGAAGAAATGGCTCACGAAAATACCTTATTTCATAAAAAAGACCATTGCTCTGGAAGGTGTAAAATACCATGAAACATCTTGCGTGTAAATGGTAAAATGGTAAATGGCCTGTATTTGATATAGCGCCTTCTAGAGTCCTGGAACCCCCCAAGGCGCTTTACAATACAATCAGTCATTCACCCATTCACACACACATTCACACATTGGTGGAGATGAGCTACAATGTAGCCACAGCTGCCCTGGGGCGCACTGACAGAGGCGAGGCTGCCGAGCACTGGCGCCACCGGTCCCTCCGACCACCACCAGCAGGCAACGTGGGTTAAGTGTCTTGCCCAAGGACACAACGACGGTGACAGACTGAGCGGGGCTCGAACCTGCAACCTTCCGATTACGGGGCGAGCACTTAGCTCCTGTGCCACCGTTGCCCCTGTGTGATTGGCTAACAGCAACACCACTCCTCTACAGTGTCTGTTTGGTCTTCTTTCTTGGGTATAAAATGCAACGTTTATTTTGTTTCTCTGTACATAACACTTTTGTGAGTTGTTTCCTTAATTATATGCCTGTAATTCAGTGATGCAACACTGGGTGATATAATCTTGAATAGTTTGTTAGGGTCCGGCACAGAAACCGTAAACCTCATCAGCCAGAGACCAAGTTCTTATTGTTCTGTCCCTGAGACACTGTCTGGTCAGACAGGAGTGATAAGATACCCGCGAGTATGACTAAATCATCCAGAGCTGAACAAGAACTTTTCTCCAAGTCCCCAAATCCCCAGCCTTCTGTAGGTGAGTAAACTTCAAAGAAGTGGTCAGTGAGGTAAAACAATTCCAGTCACCTAAAACTATGTTTCAGTTTTAAACCAGGGGTTGGTGTGAGGCGCAGCGCTGTAGGGATGACCCACCTTGGGCGGTTTGAAGGGGTAGTCTGGTGTGAAGGCGATATCCAGGAAAAACACTCCTCCCTCGTACACGGACCCCGGGGGGCCCAGGATGGTCGACCTCCACTCATATATGTTGTCCCCTTTAGGTCCGGCACTGATTCATAAAAACACACACAGAAAAGAAAGGGTGGTGAAGTTTCTGCTTATAGGAGCTTCAGAATATTTAACCTAATTCTCTCTGAATCTCCCAAAAACATCACAAAGGCTGGTTGTGTGGGACGACCCAGCACCGCCCAGCACTGGGAGGAGTGTCAGGGCTCTGTTTTGTGAATAAATGCGTGAAACTGAAACGCACGCACGCGCACACACGCACGCACACACGCACACACGCACACACACACACACACACACACACACACACACACACACACACACACACACACACACACACACACACACACACACACACACACACACACACACACACACACACACACACACACACACACACACACACACACAGAGAGCTGTGAGGGAGACGCACTAATCCAATCCCATTTTCCACTGGAATTAGGCCAGATGCCCCTGTCGGTTCCATGTATTACTTTTACTTTCATCATTTACACAGTGAGAAAAACCAGAGAGAGGGAGGCAGAGTGTGTATGTGTGTGTGTGTGTGTGTGTGTGCGATGCACATAAGATGAGTGTGAGTGGGTGTGTTTGTGTGAAACAGCAGACCCATTCCCTATCTGTTTAGACACAGAGAGGAATTCCAGGAGCAGGATGGAGGAGCTGTACCAACAGATTCCTCAAGCAGGATGAACACTTGATGGGTTCAGGTTCTTTACTCGCCGAGTCTCAGCCTCACAAGCCACGTCACATCACAGCTCCTGTCTGGTATTTGGAGCGGTGTGTACGAGTGTGTGCGAGTCGAAGCAGCAACACATTTGTTCCCACAGGCATCGACACAACTAAACAAGGCCAAACACGGTGGATGGTACGTAAACGTTAAAAACGCTTCAAACTAAAACAGATCAGGTGGAAACTGGCTGTTTCGTCATCGTGGTGGTTTCTTTGATGGCTTTCACCATTTCATATCAGGTGGTTATTGAAATGGAACTCTATTAACATATCAGGATCGTCCTTCAGGGCTGTGAGTGATGTTACAACTAAAATAAACCAAGACATCATTATTAACTCATACAAGAGAAAAGCCTGAGACCCAATACATCTATCATATACATCTTATACACATCCATGTTGTGACATAATTCTAGGTCATCTTTAAAAGATTAGAACTAAAGAACCAGTGTTTGACGGCTTGGTTCACAAATTACATTTATTGTCCTAAAAATGATGAAAGACTTCTGGGAAGATCTTTCACGGCTCCTACAGCTGGCTCATTTATCTCAGTTCTTCAGCTAAACTTCTCATGTGGAATTATTTAGAGCTCTGCCTGTTATCCATCTTCCTCTGCAGCTTTGTGAAACTTTCTCTGACAGGTTGGGGTTACGTGGAGACAGATCTATCCCCTCAGACCTGTCAGTGCGATAGAGGATACGGATCTTACAACTCATCAAAGGTATGCTCTCCTAGGAAAACCAGACTTCTGTGGTACTGGTTTTACTATAATGCATAGAAATACTGAACTAACCAAAACAAAGTTGTAATGACAAAAGTGTTGTAGTCAAGTGACCATCTATTAAAGCTGCAATGGCAAATTTGGAAAACAAATTAGCTTAAAACGATTTTTGATGACTCTTAACATTCTAACAGTATAGCTATTGTGGAGATAAAAAAAGAGGAAACAATTAACTCATTAACTGCCATTGACGACAAAAGTCGTCATTTGCATTTTTTTTTACTGTGTGGGCGTCGGATAGGGATGCACCGATCAGTTTTTTTGCTGCCGATCATCGATACAGATATCAAAGAATGCTGATCACCGATACCGATCACCGATACCGATCACGTGGACTGGCCAGACATTTTCTACAACATTATAATGAGTGCTACAAACTACATAATCTGGGAATAAAGGAAATGTAACCTAATCTAAAATGGTCTGTATTAAGGTTGTCACGGTGTGAAAATTTAACCTCACGGTTATGGTGACCAAAATTACCACGGTTTTCGGTATTATCGCGGTATTTTTTTTAAACGTGCTACACTTTCACACAATTAAATAAACCCAGTATGTCAGGAAATATTGTCCTCAGTTTGTGTCTAACTTTTGCCTAAAATGTGTTATTTTGTAATTATGTTGTTTATTTGTTTACATTTTTTCCCTTTAGTCTTTAAAATACCAATATTTGCCCAAAACTTCTTATTTCATGTCTGTTTGATGTCATCATTTAAAAATATTAGATCAGATGATACTCAGTACTCAAGTAGCCTTCTAATCAGATACTTTTTTACCCTTACTTGAGTAATAAACCCTATATCAGGAAAATATTGTCCTCGGTTTGTGTCCTTCCAGTGAGCTTTGCAGATGTGGGAAAATGTCATCAGGCAGTAATCGTTGTTAAATTCATAATTATTCTCGGAGAGAGACCAACTCTTATCTGCCCCTGGGAGCCCCGTAATGCATAGCGTCATTTCAACATGGGGGTGTCCGCTACACGGTTTATATGCAGGTGGCGGCGCTGCGGCTGCTTGATATAGCGACTCGTTGCATTCTCCCTCAACCCAAATCCTCGGATCATGCATTTTAGCTAAAACGCTAACGTTAGCTTGCCTTGCGTTGACTGTAGAGTTGTGGGTGATGGTCACGCAGATGTGTCATGAGATATGAAGCGTTGCTGCCTTTCACAGACACTTTTTCTGCACGTGCTGCAAACAGGATAGCCGTCTTCTATCAACCGTCCCTCGGCATTCTTCAAATATCTAAAACATGCCCATACTTCCGACTTTGTCTTCTTTGAGAGATAATAAATGTCCTCCTGAGCGCTGCCGTCTCCTCCTTTGACCATTATTTCAGCTTTAGCTTCAAGAAGTTTTGGTTGTAAACAACAAAGCGCGCATGTGCCACCGGCAACTTTGCCGATGATACGGTGGCTGGTAAGGGTCACCGCGCCTACACCGCAGCCACGGTAAACCCACCGAGATAATATAGTTCTTTAAAAAACAAGACGGTTGCTATTGTCAACTTTTTTTTTACCGGGGTTTACTGCTACACTGGTTACCGTGACAACCCTACGGCTGATCGGCCTGCTTTGATCTATTTTGAAAATTCCGATCAAAACCGATAGGGGCGCTATCCATCGGTGCATCCCTAGCGTCGGAACGAGCTCCGCACCGTAGGAACAAACATCCCAGCTCTAAAGCTGATCTTCATCCACATACGTTACACGTCATGTGATCAGGCAGCAGAAAATCCACATATTAGGAGATCGTTTTGGGCCGCTGCTGTAAAAAAAAGTGAGGTGCAAACCAGAAATGCTTCTGACGATCACAATTTCACAACGGATTATGAAAGAACAGGTAACGCTTGCAACGCGCGGATTCTTCCTGATGCAAGTGGTGAGGCTACTCTTTGTTTTGTTAGTTTTGGCGTCAATATCATACTAGCGCGCAACGTTCTGTGACTCTTAAAAAAAACTGTAAAAACTCTGAAAAACGCTGGCAGTGAATGAGTTAGCAACGTTGTAACATAGTATAATTATTGGAGATTTAAAAAAAGGGAATAATTAATAAAGCGGTTTTGTCTAAAAACCTTTGCCAATAACACGTTTCTGAGCAAATGCAACCATTGGAGCATCTGGTTGTTGGTCTTGCAAACCGCCGCACTTCCCTGTGTCTTCCACTCATAACACACTCACACATTCATCAACAGAACACCACTGGTGTGAGAGGTTCTCTGCCTACTAATATCGGAGGAGGAGAAACAGCAGGCTGCTACCACTTCAACTTTAGGACAAAAAAAAACACCATTTGAAGTTTATTTTGGCTACTCGGGTTTCCGGTTCCGGCAGAAGCATCTCAGGAAAGGCAACAAAGGGGAGGGGTGAGTGTTCAATGACCGTGTTTGCGTTCAAAACCTAGCCTGTTCTGTAAATTTGCTTTAATAGCTTTAAGTCTGTGTCACAAAAAGCCCTCAGTGTTCAAGTCCATCCATCTATCCATTGTCTTCTGCTTTTCCAGAGTCAGGTCGCTCGGGCAGCAGCCTAACCTCTTGGGCCAGCTCCTTCGGGGAATCGTAAGGCGATCTTCCAGGCCAGAACGAGAAACACAGTCCCTCCTGGGTGTCCTGGGTCTTCCTTTATGTCTCCTCTGAGTTAGATGTGCCCGGAAAACCTCACCAGGGAAGCGTCCAGGAGACATATGCTCGAGCCAACTCATCTGGCTCCTCTGGATATGGTGGAGGAGTGGGATGCCTCCCACCTCCCGCCTTCCCGGGAGGATGCCATGCCTGGCAGCTCCACACATTTGGACCTACCCATGCTGACTCGCGACGGGAAAGGCTGTTGTTAGTTTAGCAACCAGGGAACAGCAGAGAACACACAAGCTAGTAGAAGCTAACTGTTAGCATTAGCAGAACTCCTACAGGCTTGTGTTGTTTGTGGAGATAAAACGTCAACATTGCTAAGCAAACAATCAGAGGTAGAGTTGTGTTGCTGTTAGCCAATCAGAGGCGAGATGTCCAAATATCAGGAAATAAGACTCATTACACATCTGCCATGTTCAGCTCAACTCTGATCTGGCTCACTTCTAGTTCCTGAAACAGGTGCACCAGCACTTTTGTTCCCCCCAGATTACAACCCTACAAGGTATTTGTTCCTACTAGAGACTAAAATATGAGTAAATCTGATCTTTAAGGATATACAGTGAGTTAGTTTCCTAAAGATAAAATGTTTCTCATCTTGAGCCTGTTCTAGTTGCACCTGAAAAAGCCAAAGTATTCATGTTAAACTGTTTTATCAACAGTATTATAGTTTTTTATTTCATTTTATACATTTTTATGTTATCTGAGAATACCTTGTTGTAGAATTTACTGTAGGTAAAGTTTTATTTTGAATGTCTTTAAAACTGTACACGTTTACACCAAAGAAAACCTTTTTACTTTGTTCCATCAAAGCACCAAGAATGAACCGAACTGTGATTATAAGTGTTCCCTTACAACCCTAGTAACAGTTAATTCAAATGTTAGAGGATTCAAAAATGTCATGAACACATTTTCTCTGATTTGAAAGTAAATACTGTGCCAGCAAGTATAGACGACTCCCTTTCGCAAGGGCTGGTATCCAGCATGTTTTAGTTGTTTCCCTGCTTCGACACACCTGATTTTAAACAGCAGGTGATTAACAGGCTTCTGCAGAACTTCATGAGCTACTGAACAAGTGAATCAAGTGTGTTGGAGCAGGGTAACACCTGGATGGCGGTCCTCGGGGATAGGAGTCTCCCACCCTTGCTATCACGTAAGCAGCTGCAGAACAGCTGAAATGATTCTAACTTTTAACTTTTAAGCAGTTCTGGCCAAAAACTCAGGCACACACACCTTCATGTAATGCAACAGAATTATGGGCTTTTCCTGAGAGACTCCAGAGGAATGATGCTAATGTGTTTGCTCACCTCAGTCCACAGAGCTCAGCCAGCAGAACTAACTCTGTTCCTCGGGAGTGTTTGGCACAGAAACGCTGAATGTGACTAATGTTCGAAGTGAGTGGGTGTGTGTAAGTTGTGGCTTGTGAGGCAGCAGCCACGATGCCTTGTGACAGCTTGTTAGGACATCACACAGGCCTGGCAGAAAGGGTTGTGCATGAAAACCTCTGAGAGAGACGCATGCACGTGCACACACACATGCACATGCACACACACACCAAATCCCTTAAATGGTGTCTTTATTTAAACTACTGAGCAAACCACACATTTCAGTCTACAAAAATCAACCTTAAATTGTACAAAACTGAAAGAGGATTATGACCTATGTGAAGCTAAAACATTTTAACGTCTGATCCATGAGTCACATTCCAGCGCCACACTATGTGTGTGTGTATGCATGTGTGTGTGGGTTAAATACAGTGAACCCAAGACAAATCTGATGCAGAGCTTCATGTATAGAGGTACAAGTGGTGCAAAAATGGTGCGTGTGATCATCATGAGAAAAATCCAGAACACTCCCATCTTTCACTGGCACAAAACAGGCATTACGATTTCCCCCCAGTTGATCCAAAACAATACTTGTGCTTATTTTTGTCACCGACAGACCCAAAACGACCGTTACTCCACAGATTCTTCAGGGGCAGGGGCACAGATTCTGTTCAATATAAAGTCATAAAATATAAAAGTCATGCTTTCATCACTTTTGCTTCACTTAGTTCAGAATATTTGGAGCATTACTAATTCAAACACCAGGATAAAACATCTTTTTTTTCTTTAAAGGAACAATAAGTAAGAATGTTACAGGGACGTAATCACAGAACAGGAACAGGAAGGAAGGTTGCATTGAAACAGATTGCTGGGGGGGGGTCATTAATTTTTCTCCCTTTAAAAACTTTGAAAGAGGACGCAGTCATTGTTTACAATCTGTGAGCCCACCGGTTTGCCAAAGTCTGCGTCGGGCCAACGCCGGAGCAGCAGTGTTTAATTCAAAGCTCCAGAGTTGTTTAAAGTGGCAGTGTGTATTTTTACCATCAAGCTCTGGAAATATTCAACGAACTGCTGTTGAAAATGAAAATGAATAAAATGATGTCCAGTTGTTATAAAATATTGGAGACTTTGTAACATATAACCATAAAAATTGGGTCTAAAGTACTTAGGGTGCAGGTCTAGCATCTTTGGGTGATGCCATATTAGATGCCATGTTTCCTTCTGGCATCGCACTAGATGAATGGCTGGATGTACAACTTAGTACGTAGTTACGTTACCATGATCAAAAACATTTAGGTAGTAAGAAACACAAATTTAATAGCAAAACTGCTAAACTCTTTCCAAAACCTATGTGAAGGACCAGAATCAAAAAAGAGAAGCAATGTATTTAGGCTGAGCGGTATTGCTGTAGTATGATGATGTCATCGGCAGGCGCAGGACCCCGAGCAGATCCGAAAACTACAGCGCCAAAAAACTAGCATCAGCATTGCACTCTCTTGATGGAATTAACTGAAGGGCCATTAAAGTCTGAGGAATCGTGCTGCGGTTGCATGCTTTCTGCTTCACAGGTAACAACATCTACGGTCATGTTTCTAAAACTAGCAGCAGTCAACAGTGGGTGGTTTTTTTCTGTACCCACCGTGTTACCTCTGGAGCAACAACACGGGGTAAGTTCATTTATAGACACTTCCAACCAGTTTTCTGCTCCACAAACAAAAAGTCCACAATCATAGTGAAAAAACACACAAACCACAAGACAGCTATAAATACTCATGCAGAAGAACAGAAATCCAAACATGTCTCACAGCAGCAGGAGATGCAGAAGCTGGCCTAGTGAACAATTAGCTCTTTCACAGCTCCTCCTCCCTGCAGGAGGCCTGCAGAAATCTTTAGGTTTCTCCTTCGATCCCTGACGCAGCAGATGGGTACGTCTACTTCTGACACTCTGCTTATCATGTTTTTTTTCTCTCTCTCTCTCAAACAAACGTTTTTGCTGAAGTCCCTTAATCTTCTGCACAGAATGAAGGGAGCTGAGGTTTCACCACAGCTGTGCTCTACAGAAAAGAAGTGAACTTATGAACATTTGAAGTCCAGAGGTCGTTTGGACAAATATGCACAAACGCATTTATGAAGATTTAGAGTTTTACCACAAATGTTTAATCTGTGCATGATGCTGACTGGAGCAAACAATAGTTCTTCCTTCACACAGGTGAGGGAAGGTAGAAGGTTGGTTGACAAACTGAAAAGATGCATTTGTAACATTGGCGAGACATGTTTGATCCTTCAGGATCCTAAAACGTCTTTATTCTCCTTCTACACTGCAGCTTACTCCCTGTGTGTTGGTTCTAAACCATCATCAGCTGACTTCTGCTGTAGCTACGCTTCAGGACCAAAGGCCAGCCTCAGCACCGCTCCCTGCTGACTGGGTCATCGTCAGCATGCTGCAGTCACCCAGACACAATCTAGCTGCTGTAGAGAACCTCGTCTGGATGACACACCAAGGACTCAGCCTTCTCTCAGAAAACGGTTTCATGAGCAACATCATCTTTTAACATGACATGTGAGTGTGTGTGTGAACAGCTGGTGCTCCCACTCACCGGCTGTTTCACTGCAGGATGTTTTCTGATAACAAACTGGCCCTCCTCCCAATTAGACGAGACTGCTACAGTCTTTCAAAGAGAGGAAGCAAGCTTTACCCCCCGCCGCCCTCTGGAGACCACCTACAGTCACTGCGGCTAGCATTTATGTTTATTAGTGATGGAATTTTACCCACATTAGGCATTTTTGGGAGGGGGGGGGGGGTATGTACGTTGCTGATGTTCATTTAAGATGCGGCGCTACAAACCGGTTGGGGTGGAGTCATGGGACCTTGTGACTCCACCCCATCCAGCCTGTAACAAGAAGGGAAAGACAGTGAGGATTAGGAATGGGTACCGAATTCTGTACTTTTTAAGGTGCCGACCGAATTCCACAGTACCGACCGAGCACCGATTCACTTCATTTGAAACGGAGCCTCGTTTCGGTACCCGTCCTTCACAACGAGAACTTGCCAAGACAGCTGCGCATGCGCAACAGCCTTACGTCATCGGTCGATGCGAGCCAGTTGTAAACAGAGCAACATGGGAGAAAGAACGAACGCTAAAGCTTGGGTCTACTTCACTAAATGTGATGGGTAACTGGGTGATGATGAAACCAGCGACAACGATCTAAGTGAGACATCCTCATCTTAATCTGCTCCGGTAGGTAAATAAAATGTTTAAGATAACATTAGCTTGATTTGTTAGTTTCCGTTTCGCTAATGGTGCGTTCGCTTTCTTCTCGGAACTCCCGAAATTCTGACTAGAAGAACATGAACGTGCTTTAAAGTTTGGCTTCACTTTACTAAATGCGACGGGTGATTGGGTGAAGACGAAACCAGTGACAACGATCTAAGTGTGAGGCATCATAGTTTTAATCTGCTCCAGCAGTTAAATAAACTGTTTAAGATAACGCTAGCTTGTTATGTTAGCTTCCTATGCCACCATTGTTATTATCTAATGGTGCGTTCGCTTTCTCCTCGGAAATTCTAACTTCCCAGTAGGAAAAATCAAATGAAAAAGGACGGTAAAAGGAATGAAGATACACAGTAAATTTAGTTCACAGTAAAGATGTTTGCTTCAGTTTAATTATCAGCTTATAAAACTACAAGGATGATGTTAAAATACAAACAGTTGTATGTTATTAATTGTGATATTTATCAAATATGGTTATATATTGAGAAAAATAGATATTTAATTATAAAAGAGAATTAAAAATATTAAACACTCAAAAGTATCGAAAATTGGTACCGTTAAGTACCGGTATCGATTCCTAGGTACCGGGAATTAGTACCGGATCGATTCAAATGTCAAAGGTACCCATCCCTAGTGAGGACGATTCAAATATTGAAAGGGTGGGCAACCGTGTAGTGTGTAGCAACCATCGGAAGTGACTACATTTAAAAAAGTTTTCCAATTTCTATTTTTGTGGGAAAAGACTCTTCAACCAAATCTACCACTGTCACCATTCCCTCTAACCGCAGCTGTGCTGTTGAATATCGTCCATTTATAGTTATTGTGGTGAACTGCTCAACACACACTGTTGGGCCAAAAACAAAAAAAAGGTCACACACTAATATTTTGTTGCAACCACATTTAGCTTTGATTACAACACACATTCACTGTGGCGTTGTTTCAATAAGCTTCTGCAAAGATTTATTTCCATCCACAACGATCTTGCACTGATATCTGACCGCTGCACAAAGTCTTCTCCAGCACATCCCAAACATTCTCAATGGGGTTAAGGTCTGGACTCTGTGATGGCCAATGCATGTGTAAAAATGATCCCATGCTCTCAGAACCCCTCTTTCACTATCTGAGCCCGATGAATCCTGACATTGTCATCTTGGAATATGCCTGTGCCATCATCCTGGTCATTCAGGATACTCAGGTAGTCAGCTGACCTCATTTTTGGAGCACATCCTGTTTCTGAACCTAGACCTGACCACCTGCAGCAAGCCCAGATCATAGCACTGCCCCCACAGGCTTGTACAGTAGACACTATGCATGAAGGGCGCATCACTTCATCTGCCTCTCTTACCCTGATGCACCATCACTCTGGAACAGGATCCATCTGGACTCATCAGACCCGTTTTTAATAAAGCATTGGACAGTTCTTAACCCAGTTTTAGTCGTTTCTGCATCTCCTTAGAGGTTTTCTGTTTGATGCATGCCAATGATCTGACCCTTCTCACACAGACGAACGTCTTGTCCCCGACCACCAGATGTGTCTTTCCACATGGTTGTTTAAGAAAAGCAACTCATTGCACCAGCTGGGTTAAATAACTGAAAGATAATTGCTCATGCAGTAATTATCCAATAGGAGGCTCCTACCTGTTTGCTTAGTTAAATCCAGATGGAGATTGTTTTTGGGGCAACAAAATGAACCATGATACTGATTTAAGGCCATATCGCCCAGCTCTAATGTGAGTTCTTGTTTTAGTCGTTTTCCTTAACATACATATTTTCTTTTTTTCTTGCATGCTGGTGAGCAACATTTGAAGGGAGAAAAAAAACCATTCTATTCAATTATTTCCAAATCAGACCTGTCCCAATCCTGTGGTTTGTGTCTGAATGAAGTCCATGTAAACAATGTGATGGACACAAGAGTCAAATCCAAATGGTTCTGCGTGAATTTGTATTACTTTCATTCATTCCTTCCTTTCTGATTTGATTATTGTGTTCTTGCTCTCATCTAGGAGGTATTTATGATCGTGATTTTTTATTGGCCGTTTTATTTTTCTGTTTTGATCTTAGGTGTTTCTATTTTATGACTGTTTTTAGTCGTGTTTTATGTGTACGAAGGTGAATTTAAATTTTTATGTTTTTTTTTTTTAGATTAAACGTTTTTATTCTGTGCAGCACTTTGGTCAACTGACATACAGTTTTTAAATATGCTATACAAATATGGTTTGGTTTGATGGAAATTGGTGATTTTCAAAAACCAGTGTGAACCCAAGCAAGGAGGCTGAGAGAGCGGAGAGTTAACACAACGTGTCAGATGTGGGGGTATTTACATACCCTTCTACTGCACCCGTCACTTTCTATTAACAGATCAGTGGAAGGCTGACAAACATCATTACCAACAATCATGAAGCAGGCTTTACGAAGCCATCCAATGATCCCTGTAAAACGGCTGCTTTTTATATTCCCAATGGGAATTAGTGTTTTATCCTGCAGGAAATGAAGAGTGTTTCTAGCTGCTGTGATAATGTTTCACAGTAACATACGTGGAAGAAGTGAACCATGCAGAATAATTAGCCAAATCTCAGTATCTACTCATAAACCCCCTCATGAGGAGGAAGCACCGGGGAGACAGGAACCTTTTGTTGTGTCAGACACGGTGTGTGGAGGTATTCACTGTGACGCGGTGCTACGTTTGTTGCACAAAGACAAGCTACAAAGACTGTTGGGCTCAATTGAATTCTTACACTTGGGATTTTACCACTTTGACCTGGGGGCTTTCAGGAGGGAAGCCAAGATCCAAAGGGAGCACTGAATGCAGAAATCTACAATTCAAATGTCATGCCAATGCTGGATGAAATCTGACTAAAATACACTCCAGCAGCCTGAGCCGGATCGCTCTCTCATGACTAAGTACTCCTGAAGCCAAGTTGAATCCATTAGACACAGAGTTCTTTCGTGTGGATGATCTGTAAGAAGTCGACTCAAAAATGTGTCCGGTCTGTGTGTGAAGTCTTCTTTGGCACTCTGCTGTTTGGTCTGCTGTATGCTGACATTTGAACATTTACAGGTGCTGGCCAGTAAATTAGAATATCATCAAAAGGTTGAAAATATTTCAGTAATTCCATTCAAAACGTGAAACTTGTACATTATATTCATGCAATGCACACAGACCAATGTATTTCCGATGTTTATTACGTTTAATTTTGATATTTATAGGTGACAACCAATGAAAACATCAAATCTGGTATCTCAGAAAATTAGAATATTCTAAAGGCCAATGAAAAAATGTTTGTTTCTCTAATGTTGGCCAACTGAAAAGAATGAACATGAAAAGAATGTGCATGTATAGCACTCAATACTTAGTCGGGGCTCCTTTTGCCTCAATAACTGCAGTAATGCGGCGTGGCATGGACTCGATCAGTCTGTGGCACTGCTCAGGTGTTATGAGAGCCCAGGTTGCTCTGATAGTCATCTTCAGCTCCTCTGCATTGTTGGGTCTAGCGTATTGCATCCTCCGCTTCACAATACCCCATAGATTTTCTATGGGGTTAAGGTCAGGCGAGTTTGCTGGCCAATCAAGGACAGGGATACCATGGTCCTTGAACCAGGTGCTGGTGGTTTTGGCACTGTGTGCAGGTGCCAAGTCCTGTTGAAAGGTGAAGTCTGCATCCCCATAAAGTTGGTCAGCAGCAGGAAGCATGAAGTGCTCTAAAACTTCCTGGTAGACGGCTGCATTGACCCTGGACCTCAGGAAACAGAGTGGGCCAACACCGGCAGATGACATGGCACCCCACACCATCACTGACGGTGGAAACTTTACACTGGACCTCATGCAACGTGGATTCTGTGCTTCTCCGCTCTTCCTCCAGACTCTGGGTCCTTGATTTCCAAAGGAAATGCAGAACTTGCTTTCATCAGAAAACATAACTTTGGACCACTCAGCATCAGTCCAGTCCTTTTTGTCCTTGGCCCAGGCGAGACGCTTCTTGCGCTGTTTCATGTTCAAGAGTGGCTTGACACACGGAATGCGACACCTGAATCCCATGTCTTTCATGAGTCTCCTCGTGGTGGTTCTTGAAGCGCTGACTCCAGCTGCAGTCCACTCTTTGTGGATCTCCCCCACATTTTTGAATGGGTTTGTCGTCACAATTCTCTGCAGGGTGCGGTTATCCCTAGAGCTTGTACACTTTTTTCTACCACATTTTTTCCGTCCCTTCGCCTGTCTGTTAATGTGCTTGGACACAGAGCTCTGCGGACAGCCAGCTTCTTTAGCAATCACCTTTTGTGTCTTGCCCTCCTTGTGCAAGGTGTCAATGATTGTCTTTTGGACAGCTGTTAAGTCAGAAGTCTTCCCCATGATTGTGGTGCCTTCAAAACAAGACTGAGGGACCTTTTAAAGGCCTTTGCAGGTGTTTTGAGTAAATCAGCTGATTAGAGTGGCAGCAGGTGTCTTCTATATTCAGCCTTTTCAGAATATTCTAATTTTTTGAGATACCAAATTTGGAGTTTTCATTAGTTGTCACTTATGAATATCAAATTTAAATGTAATGAACATTGGAAATACATTGGTCTGTGTGCATTGCATGAATATAATGTACAAGTTTCACGTTTTGAATGGAATTACTGAAATATTTTCAACCTTTTGATGATATTCTAATTTACTGGCCAGCACCTGTATAAGGCGGGATGGAAATGTATTCAAGATCCATTTTTCCTAATAAAAGTTCCAGATATCTACAATAGCATTCCTACTATCCTGACCTTTCTCAGCGGCCTAGTGGTAGAGTGTCCGCCCTGAGACTGGGAGATCAGGGGTTCGACTCCTGGTCGGGTCATACCAAAGACTTTGAAAAAATGGGACCCAATGCCTCCCTGCTTGACACTCAGCATTAAGGGGTTGGATTGGGGGGTTAAACCACCAAATAGTTCCCGAGCGCGGCTTGTCTGCAGCTCACCGCTCCCCCAGGGGATGGGTCAAATGCGGAGATCAAATTTCGCACACACACCTGTGTGTGTGACAACTAATGGGACTTTAACATTTCAGATATTGTAAATGTAATTCTTTCTAGGACAAATGATGTCACATTTCCCATTCATGTGTATCGGGTGTGCAACAGATCCGACCCTAACTTCTGACAGGAAATGCTATGAGAACGTTTTCACTGAGGAAAAATGTTCATTCTCAGCCTTTGTTCAATAGTTTGTTGATGCAGCAGTTACAGCCTCCAGTCTTTTTTAATTTGATGCTCCAAGCACACTCATCTTTGGCATGACATAATGACTCAGCACCATCTAAGGAAAAGGAACCAGTTCTTAGAAAGAACCAGCATCGAACAAGCACAGGTCTTTTCAGTGTTAAAAGGTCTTCCCAGAGCAACAGTGAGGCTCGGGTTGATCTCTATTACTAAACTGTACAGTTAGAATGTAAAGAGTTTTTAAAAACCTTTATATAGAGATCAAGGTACCTTCACACCTTGATAACACCTTATTGGATTTTGAGACCAAAACAAACCCTGGATCACAGCGTCGCCTCTAACAAAGCACCCAAACATCTGAATAGTCAAAGAATCTACTCAACTGTAGCTCTAGAGTCATCAAACCAGGTGTTTTTGCTGCAGACGCCCAGGTTCAAATTGACTTTTAGGTTCTGATTTCCTCCGTGCAGAAAGTAGGTTTCATGAGAAAAGGATAGCACTGCAGTTCAGTGAATCCCTGTTTGCAACATCGATCTTTTTCCATTCTTCAAGAAGAACTTCTCCAATTCAATTCAAGTTTAGTCATATAGCGCCAAATCACGACGAGTCGTCTCAAGGTACTTCACACAGTAAACATTCCAATTCAGGTCAGTTCATTAAGCCACTCAGGAAAAGGTTTCCTATATAAGGAACCCAGCAAATTGCATCAAGTCACTGACTGGTGTCAGAGTCTTTACAGCAATCTTCATACTAAGCAAGCATCTTTTAGAGCCTGGATGATGGATGGAGAGTGATGCTTAGCTTGCTGCTTCAGAATTCCCCACAGGTGTTGGATTGGGTTCAGATCAGGAGACAGACTTAGCCGTTCAGTCACCTTCACCCTGTTCTTCAGAAATGCAACAGTAGCTCCAGATGTGTGTTTTGGATCATTGTGTTGGAAAAGTTCACGACGACCAAGTGTAGGGAGTGATGGCAGCATCTCCTTCCGTATAGAGCAGTACGTTGTTGAGTTCATGATACCATCAATGAAATGCAGCTCCCCAACACCAGCAGCACTCACGCAGCCCACATAAGGACACCGCCACCACCGTGTTTCACTGTAGGCACCATGCATTTCTCTTTGAAATCCTCACCTTTACGACGCCATACAGTTTAGAAATTATTAGTTACAAAAACAGTGATGTTTGTCTCATCACTCCAGAGTTTAGAGTCCCAGTAGTCCTCATCTCTTTCAGCATGGCCCCTAGCAGATCCTAGGTGTGTTTTTTGTGCATGGGCTTTAGGAGAGGCTTCCTCTGCAGTGTGTGCTAACTGCAGTGAACTAACATGGTGATTTTCTTCAACCCTTCTCATCAGAAGATGCTCTGGTTGAGATGTTAACTTCCATAGATGGCCTAGAAGTCTCTGTAAGACGGTTGCACTGTCTGCTGCCTGGACACCTCTTAAATGAATCAATAGACTCACCTGTGGTTGAGTGCTTGTTAATTCAGATTTTGTGGTCTTAAGTGTGGCTTTTCTCTCAAGACTATAATTGGGGTGTGCTCATTTTTGCAACATGGGCTTGAATGGATTTGTTAGGAAAATCACTTTTTTGTGTTCAAATGAAGAAATCTTGTTAGCAATCAATGGCCCACATGTGGTAGTATGGTATCTCATAGAAAATGTTGATTCTGAAAGCAAACTAAAGGTTTTCTGACTAAAGTAGTGGGGTGTACTCGTTTATGCTGAGCACTGTATGTATGTAATGTATGCCATGTATTTGGCAGTGCAGTTATGAGACGTTGTATCTGACTAACGTTAACGTAATACACTGGAGAATAAAAGATAAGTATTTACTCTGGATGCTTTTGTCAGCGAGCAACAAAGCCATCACTCAGAGATAGCTGAAACAGGACATTCCAGCCATCACTGACTGGATCAACATCACACAAGACATTTTGTTGCGGAGAAACTATTTTACTCTCTGAATTCAACAGACATGATCCAGAGAACCTGGTGTAAATGTTAAACCAATAGAATCTGTGTGCAGATCATTTGTTTCATATGTAAATGAAAGGTCCTCTCAGTTTTCGTTATTTTTCTGTTAACCATGTTTACAAATGTTCATAATGGCTCCTTCATCACGTTACACTGAAAAACATTTTAATTACAAAAGAATAAAAAGCCGCTATGCCAACACCCTAAGAGCTTCCATTCATCAGTCAGGTTTCATGCTAATTCAGGCCTCCAGAACCCCACAAACAGTGCAGGTGTGAAGCTACTTGTCCTCTTTGGCTGAAGACATCTTCAGCATCTATAATGTAAAACAGCTCCAGCAACAGGATTAATAAAAACAGAAGGAGACCTGCAGTTTGGATCCCAACTAAAGCCTGGTTTATGCTTCTCCGTCAGCTCCGCAAGGGACAGACACGCACGGATTGACGGAAGCGTTTTGCTCTTTTACTTCTCCGTCTCCTGGAGAGTGTTGCAAAGCAATTGCCCTGCAGGACAACAGAGGGCGTAGCGCTGTTCTGTGGTATCCTGTCATGCATCGGTCCAAGATAGTGTGTTTATATTGTGTTTTTTGTGTTTATAAGAGACTTTTAACACGGACATATTTGTCTCTCATTCTCCTCCACCTCTTCATGCGCTCCCCACCTCTAAACCCACGTTTCCTGTCATTTCCATCCACAAATAAAATGCTTGCTGCACATCTTTTCACTCCTCCAGTCACGGGAGGATGAAACGTTCATATTTTTAGAGTTTTTTCGCGAGGTATTCTTCAAGCTGCTCCGTGTCTGCCGCTAGTTATCCTCGGCTCTCTTTGCAATGGCGGCGCTGTAAACAACAGCGGCGTCCTGACCAATCACAAGCTTGCGTCATCCGTCTCGTTCGACGGATGTTTAAAAAAGTGGGCTCGACTCCGTACGTACTTGCGTGCCCTACGCAAGGACGGATAATGGCGTTGCGTGTCTCCGCACTGACGCAGACGGAGAAGCATAAATCAGGCTTAACAAACCCAGTTTCTCACATCTCTTTGTCTCAGGAGAAAAAGAACCAATCAGGTGTGTTGAGCTGCAGCCCTCAAAGAGCATGAATGATCATAAAGCCTGAGTCATGCTTCTGTGTCTGCGTCAGTGCGGAGACACGCAACGCCGTTATCCGTCCTTGCGGGCCTGCTGGAGAGCCCCGCAAGGACGGACGGAGTCGAGCTCTCTTTTCTTAACATCCGTCCGTCGAGACGGACAACGCAAGCTTGCGATTGGTCAGGACGCTGCTGTCGTCTACACCGCCGCCATTGCACCCTCAAAAACATAAAGAGAGCCGAGGATAACTAGCGGCAGACACGGAGCAGCTTGAAGAATTCCTCGTGAAAAAAACTCTAAAAACATGAATGTTTAATTCCACGTGACAGGAGGAGTGAAAAGATGCACAGCAAGCATTTTATTTGTGGACGGAAATGACAGGAAACGTGGGTTTAGAGGTGGCGAGCGCATGAAGAGGTGGAGGAGAATGAGAGACAAATAAGTCTGTTAAAAAGGCCCTTATATACAAAAAACACAATATAAACACACTATCTTGGACCGATACACGACAGGATACCACAAAACAGCGCTACGCCCTCTGCTGTCCTGGTGGGGAATTGCTTTGCAACGCTCTCCAGAAGACGGACAAGCATGAGGGCAAAACGCTTCCATCCGTGCGTGCGTGTCTCTCCCTGTTGGAGCTGACGGAGAAGCATGAATCAGGCCATCACTAAACCCAGAGTCACGTTCAAGCCTCAAACCGCTCACACTGTTCAATCACTCGGCTTCCTCTGCAACAAGAGCTCTACGCCGCAACGAACCACCTCAGGTGTCAGAGCTAACAGTCTTCTAAAAACACCACCAACAGGCTCCTACCTGCAGTTCGGAGGCGGGTCCAAGGTGATCTCTGCCAGCTCCTTCTGGATCCTGAAAGAAGACGAGGCAGTTTGTTAAGATCACATTCAGATCTAAATACTGTGACCAACGCATGAAATGGATTTTTAAGGAGCTTCTGTAGAAGAAGAGGTCCTGTCACGCAGGATAAACAAAGATCAGCTGAACATTAGTCTGTGTGTATAAACAGATATTAACTGTGGTAAATAATGCTGCTAACCACACTTCTGGTACCCCACACTTCCAGGAAGCTGTGCACATAAAAATGGTTCTAATGAATTTACTGTGGAAGGATCACATTTCTCCCTCATTAAGTATTCATTACACGCCAGTGATTTGCCTGCATGCAGAAACCAGGTGCTACTTCTCTGTGCGTCAGCTAGAAAAGCTGCTGCGCTCTTGTGGGAAAAATCTTCAGTTCATAGCAGGAAAAAAAATCAGTTATGGTACAAAAGTTTGCTCAGAGGCACTAAAGCAAGTTTCAAACTTTTCAGTATGACGTCAGTCAGCTTTTACAGAAATAAAACACTGTGGGTCTCCCGCCACTGTCTGGAAAACCTCTAGAAGGAGTCGGACGGGGGGCCTCCTAATAAGATGTCTGAACTTTTTTCCGTGCAGAAGAGCAGCAGTTCTACTCCCAACTCCCCCCTGCTCCTATTCAGGGGCCTCATTTTCAAATATTTGCACAGAATCCTTACTAAAATCTACTTAAACTCAACTAAATAGTTTGCTTATGCATAGAACTATTCAGACCTAACACAGTTGCACAAATCTAACTCTTCCTAGGAATGAGCTCAGCTGTTGTGGATCATATTCCACCTCCTACACACCCACTTTCTGCCATAAGTGGTCAATGCAAAGGACCTTATGAATATTCTGCACATTCATGGGTTGGTTCATTTGTGGCATTTCATGGGTAACCATGGCAACAGAGAGGTCTAGAAAACGCAATTTCACTAAGACTGAAATCAAGGTGCTTAAAGGTACCAGCTCTGTGGCCTAGTGGTAGAGTGTCCACCCTGGGACTGGGAGATCGGGGTTCGATTCCTGGTTGGGACATACCAACGACTTTATAAATGGCTCCCTGCTTTAACCCCCCCCCCCCCCCCCCCCCTAACTCATTCACTGCCAGCCGTTTCCTGATCACTAACGGCCTTCGCTGCCAGCGTTTCTCACCATTTTTACAGTTTTTTTTAAGAGTCACAGAACGTTGCGCGCTAGCATGATGTCGATGCCAAAACAACCAAAACAAAGCGGAGACTCACCTCTTACATCAGGAAGAATCTGCGTGTTTCGAGCGTTATCCGTTCTTTCATAATCCGTTGTCGAATTGTGATCGGCAGACGCTTTTCCGGTTTGCGCCTCACTTTTTTTTTTTTACAGGAACGGCCCAAAACGATCTCCAAACACATGGATGGTCTGCTTCCTGATCATGTGACGTGTGACGTATGCGGATGAAGATCGGCTTCAGGGCTGAGATGAGCGGGGGCTCGTTCCAATGCTCAAACAGTAAAAAATGCAAATGACGACTTTAGTCGTCAATGGCAGTGAATGAGTTAAGTGGGTTGGATTGGGGGGTTAAACCACCAAATATTTCCCAAGAGCGAGGCCACTGCTGCAGCTCAGCGCTCCCCTCAATGGGGATGGGTCAAATGTGGAGATGAACTTCACCAGTGTGCGATGATGACTTTAAGGTAGAGGCACATAAAAATGTTTTATTGCCTTCCAGCTGCACAGTGTTTGTATAGCTGTGATCTATGGGAGTAACAGAGAGACCTGTGTAGGAGATTTAAAAAAAGAAGTGGTCAGATCTGAAGGTGGAGGCAAAGAGAAGATGGCAATAGTCACTTTAATGATGCATCCAAAACGACTGGTGTTCAGGGATGACTGAGATATTCCCGATCTAAGCGAGGAACATTTAATTTAACCCAAATGGGCTTCAGACGAGAGCTGTCCATCATATAAAGCAAATGTCAGCCTGTGAGCCAATTCCTGCTGGAATGGGCCGGCTGCAGGAAACCCTAGAGGGGTCAACGGCTGCAGGTGCACTGGGACTGCACGGTTCTGGTGGGTCGGGCCCAGTTCAGCACATAAATCTAACAGGACTGCTCTAGGGAATCGAAATCAGCTGATCAGCCAGTCATCTAAAAACGTGTGTGCTTCAGGGTCAGAGCTAGTGTAAAGTTGCATACCATCACTAGAAATCACAAAGTTTGCATAAAAAGTGACTTAAGCAACTTTCAGACCTAGCAAGCTTTATAAATGAGGCCCCAAACCCAGCCGCGCTACGGAGGAAGAGGACTTCAACTGCTGGATCCCGGATCTGGTCCATCTATCATGATCCACATGATGAAAAAAAAACGATGCTGCAAACTAAAAGAAAAAGAGTCATCAAGTGACCGAGTCCTCTAAGCTACATTCTCAGATGCGACCCTCATGTAGAAACTGTATTCTGCTCTGTGACCACGTGTTTCACATGGACAGTTATTACATGCTAATCTCAACTATGGAAAACCTATGAAATGCAAAAGCACTAGTAAGTAGTAAGTAAGGTTTATTTATAGAGCGCCTTTCACAGATATAAATCACAAAGCGCTCTACAACATGATAAAATCAGGGCAAATACCTCAAACCAATAAAAACATCATAAAAACAATAGCAGTGACAACAATAGTAACCAAAATCATGAGTATAAACAAAGTGAAGGTGTGAACCCGAACAAAGCCATCTTTTTGAACATTTAGGGAGGGAACGCCTGGATGAAAAGGTGAGTTTTTAGATGATTTTTAAAGACCTCTACAGTGTTAGAGAGATGGAGATTTGAAGGTAGACTGTTCCAAAGTCTGGCTGCAATAGTCTGAAAGGCCCTGTCCCCTTTGGTTTTCAGTCTGGTTCGAGGAACAGCCAGGAGGTTTTCAGATGTGGATCTAAGGTTCCGAGAGGTGGTGTGTGGGGATAAAAGCTCAGATAGGTAGCTTGGAGCCTGGTTGTTAAGAGCTCTATAGGTCAGCACTAAAACTTTAAACTGTATTCTATATTCCACCGGGAGCCAGTGGAGGGACTGTAAAACTGGAGTGATGTGAGCTCGTCTGCTGGATTTGGTTAGGAGTCTGGCTGCTGCATTTTGGATGGCTTGAAGGCGTGAGAGGGAGGTTTTGCTGAGACCAGTAAAAAGAGCGTTACAGTAGTCTAAGCGTGATGACACAAAGGCATGGATGATTTTTTCCAGATCTGCAGTAGAAACCAGTTTACGGACTCTTGAAATGTTTCTCAGTTGAAAGAAACAAGAGCGGGAGATGGTTTTGACGTGTGAGTCTAAACTTAAAGCTGGATCAAAAATAACTCCCAGGTTTCTAATGTTGGCCTTGGCTGATGGGCAAAAGGAGGCAATTTCTTGCTCGATTCTACAACAGACTTGTACAACAACAATGTTACAGGTACAAATTCCGATGTATTACCTACAAACATGTGTTGGTTGGATTGATGGTAAATGGTCTGTATTTGTACAGCGCCTGCTTAAGATTCCACAACCCCCCAAGGCGCTTCACAACACAGTCAGTCATCCACACATTCACACGCTGGTGACGATGAGCTATAATGAAGCCACAGCTGCCCTGGGGCACACTGACGAAATTGAGACTAGCGAATACTGGCGCCACCAGTCCGTCCAACCACCACCAGGCAAGGCGTGCCTTGCCAAAAGACACAACAGCAGCATTGGATGGAATGAAAACTTTGTTACCTTTAAATTATGAACAACATCCAGGGACCAGACTTTCTATCAAGCCAGCACAGTTTATTTATTCATGCATTTAGTGAATCGGTTTACAAGATACAGTACCAAAACGTTTGTAGCTAAATATAATAATGAAAGTGTAAAGGCCCATGGAGGTAAACGATAGCCTCCAACGATCGGTTGTAATGCAGTTTGACGGTAGGGTGATGATCCACATCATGCATAAGTGTTAAACTAGCCAAGAGGCTTTTATTTGAACGCTCCTCTGTGGAGAGGCAACTGCACAGGACTCAGATGAGTCAAGAGAAAAGATATTTGACAGCAGCCTGTAATATAATCTCCACAGTACTCCCCAGCCTGACTGCATTCTGTGTAATTTAATCTGCAGGATTTCCTGAAGTGACACATTTCTACAGCGTAAGCTAAAGACTTGAGAGGCTGGTGCAGCAAGCGAGCAAGGCCAGACCAGCCAAGAGGGAAAAGCGAGATCCAGACACTCATGCATGATCTCCCAAACCAACCAAGTACCTACCTTCTGTAATGTTGACAGCTGGCCCCTCCCAACAGGCTCGTTGGATTTCAGTCACCGGCTTCAGTGGAAAAAACTAAAATGAGCGCAACCATCCTACCGGTGATAAGAAGTCTTTCCCAAACATTAATCTGACCCAGCTGTTGGTAAAGCTGCTCATACGGGTGATATGAAGGTCACAGCTGGAGCTGATTAGATGCAGGAGCAGACTTTTCCAGAGAAGCTGAATACATGTGTCCTTTAGGAGGGAATAAACCACGGCAGTTTCTAAATCTAAAATAATCTCCTAATCCAACACCAAGTCAGTGTTCTTCCAGCAGTATGGTCTTCTTGGTCCTGACCTGCTCCGAGTGCTCGGCAGGCCCCACTGAGTATTTCCAGGAGATAGACCGAGCCCGACATGGGGAGATGTGGCATTAGAGCTGGGCCAAATAATTTCATTCACCATAAACCAATAACTTTCTTTTCTTTTCGTGATATCCTAATCAACTCCTTCATGTACGTGGCACGGAGAATGTAGGGATTTGTGGATTTATTGCTCAGCCCCACACCCACGTCCCCAAAAAGATAAAAAACCGTGAAGTCCACTAAGTCAGGTCCACGTGTCCGGTTTACTCAACCCCACACACACACACCATCCACCTCGTTCTCCCTCCCGCTAGTCTCCCCTCACCTTTTATCTTTTAAAGATCTTACAGAAGCACTCCAAGAACCGCAGCACTTTGTTGTATTTGCAAAGTTATTTTACTTTTATTTATCCTAAACAGTTATACAGGTGATCCCTCGTTTATCGCGGTAGATGCGTTCCAGACCTGGCCGCGATAGGTGAAAATCCGCGAAGTAGGGACACCATATTTACAGTATTTATTTAACAAGTACGTATTCAGTATTCAGACTTTTAAAACCCTCTCTTTACATAGACATTTTTTTTTACTTGGTTTATTTATAGTTTTATTACAAAAAGTGCATTTTATGATGGAATTGATTAAAAAAAACAGGAATTTCTTGATATTTCGCATAGAAAAATACCGCGAATCAGCGAATTTCCCTTGAATAAGGCTCCAAAGAAAAAAAACGCGAAGTCGTGAATCCGCGATGAACGAACCGCGAAGTAGCGAGGGATCACTGTATAATGTTTGATAACATGGTCATCTTTTTTTCATCTTCAATATAAAGAAATATCCTTCTGATATCTCCAATCTCACTTAAAAGTACCACAGAGCATTAAAATTTGACAAACACAGTGAATTGTTCTATATCACCACGATATCGACTGATGTAAAAAATCCTATTGAGATTTATTCCACATCGTCCAGCTCTAGATGATGTCAATACAAACAAACAACTACTTAAATTCCAGCTCCTCCTAAAGTTTTCTCAGCCTTCTCCACTCTCTGACTCGCAGGGGTCAGGGATGAGTCTGACTTTGACCAAAACTAGAAAGACGTTTTCAAATCCACTGGCTTGAGCACAAAGCTGTGCAGAGACACCCTATCTGACTCTCCAACACATCGCGGAGACTCTCTGGAGATTAGTTTGAGACTTGTCCCCAACAGTCCCTGTCCAGTGAGACAGAAACACTTTTAGATTATCCTCCTCTTCAGCTCCAAATCCCTGTTGGATCCTTTTACTGCTCTTCTTTTAGTTTTTTATCCCGTTTTGCCAACATGCCATTGCTATTATTACAAAGCGTTTCAATCCTGGTGGTGGTTTCAGCTGTTTGGAGCCACAGCAGCAAAGAGAAAACCACTCGAGTAGCTGAGCAGAGCCGTCGGGGCAGAAAAGGCACACAGCCAGCAGGAAACAAAGAGAAGAGAGAGCAGCGCGTCTACCTCTTGGCGCTGGTGGAGAGCTTGGCAGCGGTCTTGCTTGAGATTTTGGCCTCCTTCTTTTTGGGCTGGGTCTGGTCACGCTGCTCGGGGCCAGGCTGCTCCGGAGGTGCTGCCTCCCTCTGCTCGGTGTCCGAACTTCCCCCGCTGGTGTTGGGACTGTCGTCAGGCCTCGGCTGCACCTCGCTGGACATGCTGACTCTGAAACACATGCTCAGAATAAGACCCGCTGTAGAAGCAGCTGGTGGAGTCTCTGGAGGGGGCTGCTAATGCTGTAATTCTCCATTACTGACTCTGAAATGATCCGTCTTATTTTGTTCAGCAACCCTGGTCAAGTTTTACATAATAAATGATTGAAACAGCCGATTTCCTGGCTGAGACGGTGTGTTAGCAACCAGGAACAGTGCAGCCCCTCGCTTTGACTCCAGCTGACGACCATTATGTCTTTTCCTCCGCCTCCTTCCCAATTTCCTGTTATTTATCCACAGTCAACCATCAGGAAAAGCAGCGACTGATTGTTCAGCCGCCAACAACCATAATAAAGAATCTTCTCTTTGTCTGTGTTTTCTGTCCTTTCTACGGTAATCCTGCTTCTGATGTTCTCATCCAGGTATGTGCTGGTGAACGCAGTGCTTCCTTTTCGTTGGAAAGCTGAGAAATTTCCTTGAAAATTAAAACCATCCAACAACAAACAATAACATGTTTATTTTAGATACGTGTTCTTAAAAAGATGACCTCTTGTATCAAAGGTCAGACAGAAAACTGGTTTGGACTGGACAGAGGATGAGATCTCCCACGTGTTGGACACCAGTATAATTTTCTTTATGACAGTAATTTTAGGTAAACCTGTGAACACAGGTGCAGCTCTTTGATTCCCAGTGAGGCTGCTGCCTATATGGAGACCACATAGAATCTGTTATGCTGGCTAGCTAAACGACCACAAACATCAGCTGTGCTCAGTTTTCAGCTGTTTTTGTACTTAAGTATTCTCTACTGCCTCTAAACGCTCTAAAGGTGAACAAAAAATATCCATCTGTCTTCAGTCAGCATTTGGTTTTAGGGATTAAATGTATAAAATGAGGTGTTTCAAAAAGGCCCCTATTGTGATGTCACAATGGAGTGTTAGCATAGACCCACCACCACTATTCCCCGTAGAGTCCCCACCCACCACAGTTATTGAGGATTCAACATTTTTGTTTACGAGCAGCGAGGACACGATGGAGAGACTATTTTTCTAGTCTGGCCTGGGAATACCTTAGAATTCCCCTGGAGGAGCTGATCCCGGAGGCTGGAGAGAGGGAAGTCTGGGCCTCTGTGCTTAGGCTGCTGTCCCTGTGGCCCGACCCCGGATAGGCGTAAGAATATGTATGTTTATATATATGGATGGACGGGCAAGTGAGCCAGTGGACGAATGGGAGGATGGATGGGTGAGTGAGTGAGTGAGTGAGTGAGTGAGTGAGTGAGTGAGTGAGTGAGTGAGTGAGTGAGTGAGTGAGTGAGTGAGTGAGTGAGTGAGTGAGTGGACGAATGGATGAATGGGAGGATGGATGAGTGAGTGAGTGAGTGAGTGAGTGAGTGAGTGAGTGAGTGAGTGAGTGAGTGAGTGAGTGAGTGGATGGATGAGTGGATGGATGGGTGGATGGATGAGTGGATGGAAGGATGGTTGAATGAATGGGTGGATTGATGGATGAGTGAGTGGATGATGGTTGAATGGATGGGTGGATTGATGGATGAGTGAATGGATGGGTGGAATGATGGATGAGTGAATGGATGGATGGATGGATGAGTGAGTGAATGGAGGATGGATGGATGAGTGAGTGAATGGAGGATGGATGGAAGGATGGATTAGTAAATGGATGGTTGAATGGATGGGTGGATTGATGGATGGTTGGATGTATGGATGGATGAGTGAGTGAATGGAGGATGGGTGGGTGGATGGATGGATTAGTGGATGAATGGATGTTGGCCTTTTCAGCTCCAAATGCGCTCTACAAAAAGAATCTAAGTTGTCTTGCTAGGGTGGCTTAGATCTTTTGGGGTGTACAGGACTCCTTTAAGGACCTTCTATGACACTGTGGTAGTGTCTGCTACCTTTGATGCTGTGGTCTGCTGTGGGGGAATGGCAGACAGGAACAGCGGAAAACTTGATGCCAAACAAGTCGTCGCCATCTTAGTTGTTCCACTCCATCGCAACATCCTGCCACCAAACCAACAGAGTGCTGTAATTGGCATTAAACAACACTGATCAGGCCAGTGGAAAACCTGCTGAGGTTCCAGTGGAGCGTGGCTGGACCTACATTCAATTCAATTCAAAAATACTTTATTAATCCCAGAGGGAAATGGATTGACATGCAGAGCAAAATCATTTTAGCTTCGGCTAACACCTGTCAAGATTTCTCTGCTAACTGTTTTTAGCTCTTGTAATGATTATAGAAAAAACTAGAGTAATGTTTAATCAAGTACACCCAAGTGTTTGTCGCACAGAGAGGTCCTAACCCAAACTTTGGGAGCCACAGCTCTGGATTAGTGGTTTGCATGAAGTGAATAAATAAATAAGTGCAGCTGCCTTTGAGACAGAGATGAACTTCAGACTCTAGCTTACATTTAAATGTGACTGACAGAAGCACACCTCACAGACCCAAACACAACAGCTGGCCTGTGTGCTGCTGCTGCTTAATTGTCCTTTCAAATATGTGTTCAGACTTTAACCACTGATGGTCTGATCCAGGTGTCAGCATGTTGTTTATTGGTTAGAAGTTAAAATAGGTTTCGGAATCATTGATGTGGATCTCCGGTTCTAATCTGTGATGTTTCATCAGTCTGCTGCTCCTGGTTTGTGAAAGAACTCTATTGTAGCGTGGTGAGCTACTCCGGGCTGAGGAAACTTTCTGATGTTTTTAAAAACCCTCAACACCTCGGAGAAGTGGGTTTAAATGTTCGGAGAGTTCGGGGGAGCCCACGGGCTCGTTCCGACCCGGTCCGCTCCGCCTGTTTTGTTGGATAAATGAAGAGTTAGCATCAAGCATGTAGATGTCGGAAGATGCTGCAGCTAACCAGGAGCAGCCCTCTGGTAGCGGGTCTGCCACTGACCTCTGCCAGGTCTGCCCCAGTAGCACAAAGACAGAATGGATACCCCCCACCCCCCCACACCTCGTCTCCACAACGACAACGACCGCCCCCCCCCTTCCGCAGATAACGCCTCAGCGCCTCAAATCCATTACAGCAAGCGAGTGTTGTCACCGTGGAAAACTGGCTGCTCACCTTCCTGAACAGGCTGGACGCACCGCGGCGGAGAAAACGGTTCCCAAAGTCCCTGTAGTCCACAAAACCCAAACACTGGCTGCCCGGTGCTTTGACTTGCTGCTGCTGGAGAACGTACCGAAGCCAGAACGCCACTGTCAAGGCAGCGACTGTTACTGTGGAGTTTCCGGTGTTGACTGCCAAAATAAAAGCTCTGGCGGTAATTATAAAGATAAAAAGGAATATATATATATATATATATATATATATATATATATATATATATATATATATATATATATATATATATATATATATATATATATGACATGGGATCAGACCTCTGAGAATCATAAAAATGTTGGATATCATTTCTACTTTAGTTTTATCACATCCTGTCACATTACTATACACAGCTCTGACAGTGGAATGCATCGTAAATTGTTGTATTACATTTGAGAATGATTTATCATTTGCACCTAAGAAACAAGTTATAAGCGCCAACACTTCCGGTCTGTGGTAAGTGCGCTCCACCGCGTGTGCGCTGGGATAGTGTGTGTGTCCTGATTTTGCAGGCTTTGATGAGATGTGATTAGAAATAGCTCACAATAAAATAACCTCAAACAGCTCACGTGAACGAAAATTTCTATTTTGATCCATAAAACCGTCCGCAGTCGAATTATTCACAAACTCTCACGTCTGGATCGGTCTGGATGGACAGCAAATAATAATTTTAAAACTTTCATAAAATTCTAATAATATAAAAATAAAATATATGCTAATTTGTCCACTTGTAGGAATCCCGTACTGTCACCGTTATGGACGTTTGTGTGACCACAGCGGAACTAATAATTGGGAAATGTTTTCCTAGCCGTACTGAAGCGGACAGTAACTCCTGAACAGACGCCTTTGGTCAACGTACCATACTGCGCTGTGCTAACGCTTCAGCAGCAACCCTGAACAGTCTTCATTAAACTCTTGAGCATTTTGTAAACGATGGAGTCGATTTTGGAACAACAGCGTCGCTACCACGAAGAGAAAGAGAGGCTGATGGACGCAAAAACTAAAGAAATGTTGCACAAAAAGACCACGGTAAGCAGCGCAGCTTTTAGCATTAGCATGTTGCTAACACCAACGCAATGTTCACGTATTTGTTTTCGACTCTTGTTTCAGCTGCGGGATCAAATTAATTGTGATCATCGAATAAGAGCCATGTTGGATGTAAGTATGAAATGCTGCTCTTCCACCAGTGAGCTAAATGTTGTTTGGTGGTGTAGTTTTTTCCGTCGTGTTAAGTAATAGAGTCAATAACAATCATTGTGCTTAAGATCTGAATTTTATGAATCATTGCAATCGATGTTGTTCTGATTTGTTAAATGTAATATAGAAGTTATATCAGAAAATAAAGCTTATTTGTTGTTGGGTAAAGTTGCTTTTATTTTTATTGAGTTACCTGTAATGCTTGGTTCCTGCCTTGGTCGTCATTCACTTTTAGTGTAACTTTGGTGAATTTTCACCATCCATCCATCCATCGTCTGAACCCGCTTGGCCACGTAGGGTCGCGGGGGGGGGGGGACTGGTGCCCATCTCCAGCGGTCAATGGGCAATCAGGCGGGGTACACCCTGGACAGAGTGCCAGCCCATCGCAGGGGACTTTCACTGAATTTTCACTAATAGTATCCAAACGTTTAGAGAAGTAAATCAAAACCTCAGGTTGATCACTGCTGCTCTTTTAATCTGAAGTTCTCCTCATTAAAATGCAGTGAAACCAGAGGGCTTTACTGACACATCCAGACTTCATACACAAAACCCAACAGGTGGTACAGAGGGAGGATTGATCCTGCCAACGCTTACATTAAATTAAGAAAGGGCAAAAAAAAAAAGTAATTCAATAAATGAGGAAATACAATTGAAGATAACACACTTGGAGTTAAATGAATACAATTATTAATTTCCACATCTATTTTTTTAATACATTTCTTCATTTATATTCCTCACACTTCCTGTGGTATATGGTGATGAGGTGAATTAAAGTTAAAGTCCCACTAGTTGTCACACTGATGTGTGACATTGTTCTCTGCATTTGACCCACCCCCGGCAGTCCTCCAAAGGTTGTTGGAGACACGGCAGCACTCGGGAGCTATTTGGTGGTTTAACCCCCGATCCAACCCTTTAAAGCTTAGTGCCAAGCAAGGAGGCATTGGTTCCTGTTTTTCGAATCTTAGGTGTGACTCGACCGTGGATTTGAATCCCGATATCCCAGTCCCAGGGCAGACACTCATACTAATAGCCCACCTAATAATTGCATCATGTATTTCTATATGTACTTTCAATTTTATAACCAGTTATTGTCAATTTTGGTGGGATCAGACCTCCATAGGTTGATTTTTAAAATGTTTTAAATAATTTTAAGAATCACATTTAAACATGATCCTGAATGAAAGCGTATGTCGTGGTTGAATAAAATACTTGATCAGCTCAGTGCAGTGTGCTGGTTGCTTCTAAAGGTAATGTGCTTTATTTAACAATCTGATGTTTATTTAGATCTTCTCAGATCTAACAGAACTATGATGACATCTGAATCAGTCTGATATTTCTACCTGGAGATTCTAAGAAGCAGAATTTGTCAACTGATCTCACACACAGCTTAACCCAAAGTCTTAGATCCGGAGGGCATTATGCACATAGGGGTTGGGGTGCTCGGAGCGCCCCAACCCCTATGTGCGTAATGCCCTCCTCCCCTTTTCATCTAATGATCGTGGTTAAAAGGAAATCCTCCAGAATGCTGCAGAATCTGTGTCTGCTTTTTTTTTCCTGAGCGGTAAGTCTTGTGTGAGTGCATGCTTGCATGCACGCGCGAGTGTGCCTGCGCTAGTTAACAACTCGTTTTTAGATTGAGAAACTCCGACAGCACACGCGGAGGGGTTGAGGGGGGTGCGGTCTACCACTGCCTCAGTGCCGCTCTCCCGGTTCGCCAGGTGACGCCTCTTTCAGAAGCGTTTTTCTAACAGGAAATGTGGATGAAATGCGTCTCCAACCAGGCATTGACCCTCACTTTAAATAGTATTCTAGAGCTAGGTGTTGTCAAGCTATGTGTTACCATGGTAATTTAGAGCCAAGTCTATTACCATGATGATCTAACAGTGAGTCAGTGTTGGCTAGTTTAATGTCATCTGTTGTCATGTTCTGTGTCTCCTCACAGAGGTATATGGAAGTGAGTGCAAATCTCAGGGACTCTTATGAAGACAAAGATGGGTACGTTTTAATTTTTTTAAATATATTCAATGTACTTTTTTTTTTTGCTTGTTAGAGTTAAGCTGTTGTCTCTTTCTGTTACCCATTGTTTACTCAGGTTTGTTTTCCTGACAGTAAAAAAAATCTAAATATATAATTACATTTTTATTCTGGCCTATCAGAAGCGTTGGTATCCCATTCCACGGCTTTTGTTGCTACTTCTTTTATTAAATATATTAAATATTAAAGTCCAATGGCTCTATTTATAAAACTTTGTTTGGATCCTTTACTAAAAAAATTTACTTGCAGAAATAAAAAATTGGACCCATAAAACACTGCGTACATATAGCTGTACACAATTCCTGCTTTATCTAACTCTACCTAGAAATGTGTTCAGGTGATTTTGGATCACATCCCGCCTCCCGCACACCCACTGCTACCATTATGGTCAGTGCAAATCACTTCATCAATATTCTGGATATACATAAGCCAGCCAACCTGTGGATTTTCATGTGGAAACCATGGCAACAGCGAAAAACGCCTGTTTCACTGAGCTTGAAATCGAGGTGCTTGTGGGTGAGGTAGGGCATGGAAAATCTTTTTATTGTCTTTGAGTGGTACAGCGTTTGGTATGGCGGCGGATTCTGTCAGAGTGATGAGAGATCTGTGGTGAATATAAAAAGAAAAAAAACATTCAAAAGAAGTGGTCAGATGGAGGCAAAGAGGAAGATGGCATTTAAATGCTATCATTTAATGATACCATCTAAACGACTTCCTTATGATGCTGAGATATTTCTGATGTAAGGGAAACATTAAAACTCATTCATAAGTTACATTGAGAATATGTCAGTCTGTGATATTAATTTATGATTTTATTATGGCGAGTGCATAAAGCCCAGCGAACCATCGTTTTGCGTATACAAAGAGCACTCGCTACTGCTTTATGGAAGAAACACTGCCTTGCCAGAATTTGAATTTTTTAGACGTTCATTTAATTAGAATTTTAATTCTGTGAAATCGTGTACTTGAATTTATTTACTTGTTTACTTAAATTACACCAGCAAAATTTTAATCTGTTAAACATCAATTGCAGAATTTCATCTTCAAAAATTCAACAACAGGATTTCAACAGCAAAAATTCAACATCAACTGACGTAACCAAGCCAAAGTAAACATCACTCCATTGAGTCGACATCTAACTGGTGTCACATGATCAGAGAAGTCTAATATGCTTGGCTAAAAGCCTCTTGAATCTATTAATCGATGGTCGCTTTGGCTTGGTTTACCAAGAGGTCACCTCAGTTGTTGAATTTTTATGGATGAAATCTTTGCTGATGTATTTTAAATTTTAAAAAATTCAAATAACACATAATAAAAATTCTTTTTCATAAATTCTATGTCTAAAAAAAGTCATTCTGATGAGATTGTATTTCTTCCATACAACATTTCCTTCTTTTTTCCATATCAGATCTGATAAAGGCGAGGCGTTGGATTGGTGTTTTATGTTTACTTGTGTTTAAGTGTTGAAAACACCTGAATAAAAAATGGAAATTGCTCCCATCCAGCATGAGAAAGGACGAGCTTGGTGCCATCTCTGGACCAAATGAGTTTGCAGAGTTCTACAACAGACTAAAGCAGATAAAGGAGTTCCACCGAAAGCACCCAAATGAAGTAAGAGACATCGTGAGCAGTCAGATTAGATTGTATAGTGTACCTGAAGCAGTCTCACTGCTGTTTGTCTCATATTTTCTGTAGATTTCCATCCCCATGTCTGCAGAATTTGAAGAGTTGATGAAGGCCAAAGAAAATCTCAGCGAGGAGGCTCAGAGTAAGTTCGACGAGGTTTGCCATTCATCCATGTTTAATGGATAAGAGTGGGTGTCACAATTCCCCTGAGCTAGATTTCAAGGTGGTGCTGCCATGTGGGTCTCTCTAAGCACTCCTGACCTGTCCATTTGTTTCTTTCAGTGTTTGGTTTTAGGAATTATGCCTGAAACAATCCACTAAATTCGCATAGGAAACACACACACACATGGCTGATGACTGGAGCAGTTACAGCTCTACTCCAAGCCCCTCCTAGATTCACAGGAGTGAGCCTCACCTCACACCTCACCTTCCTCCGCTTATCCGGGGTCAGGGTTGCTGGGGCAGCATCCCAAGTAGGGCCCCCCAGGCAGTCCTCTCTCTGGCCACGTCCGCCAGCTCTTCAGCTGGGACACCCAGGCATTCTCTGGCCAACCTAGAGATGTATTTCCTCCAGGTAGTCCTGGGTCAACCCAGGGGCCTCCTGCCGGCAGGACATGCCCAAACACCTCCCGAGGGAGGCGTCAAGGAGGCATCCTGACCACATGCCCGAACCACCTCAACTGGCTCCTTTCGATGCGGAGGAGCCAGTTGAGCTGCGGCTCCACTCAGAGTCCCTCCCGGATGTCTGAGTTTCTTAGCCCAGACCTTTTCCGATCGAGAACCATGGTTTCAGATTTGGAGGTACTGATCCTCATCCCAGCTGCATCACACTCGGCTGCGAACCTCCCCAGCAAGAGCTGTAGGTCCGAGCTTGATGAAGCTAGGAGGACCACATCCGCAAAAAGCAGGGATGAGATTCTCCTGCCACCAAACTCCACACCCTCAACACCACGGCTGCACCTAGAAATCCTGTTCATAAATGTTATGAACAGGACTAGTGACAAAGGGCAGTCCTGGCGGAGTCCATCCCCGGTCTGCCGCTCCACAGGAACTGCCCCTGATGACCACGCAATGTTTCAGAGACATCTCAACCACGACAGTCCTACAATATCCAAAGCCGTGAGATACCCAGGACGAATCTCATCCACCTCCGAGGCTCCACTGCTGTGTAGTTGTGTGACTACCTCAGTAACTTCTGCCCTAGAGATCGGACAGTCCGTTCCCAGGTCAACCAAGGCTGTTCCTCCTTGGAATGCGTGTCAGTGGGATTGAGAAACTCCTCAAAGTATTCCTTCCACCGTCCGACTGTTGCCCCAGTTGACGTCAGCAGCTCCCCATCCCCACTGCAGAAAGTGTGAGCGAGTTGCCGCCTTCCCGTCCAGAGGCGCTGGACAGTTTGTCAGAACCTCTTTGGAGCCGACCGATGGTCTTTTTCCACAGCTTCTCCCATGTCCGAGCTTTTGCCTCAGAAAGTGCCACTGCCATCCGGCTCCACAGAGTCTTGAAACGACTCACTCTGGAAGGTTCTGGAGCTGCCAAAGCTGCTGAGATCGCTTTATTAGAGGGATTTGGAGCAGAGAACTAGATTAATTTGGTTCATTAAGATCTGGATTAAATAACATGGGTTGGTGCACATTAAAATCTAATCGTAGGTTTAGCTGAGCTGAGGTTTGATCCATTTTTAGTTTCCAGTTTCCATCCCAAAACTCATGAAACATCTGGAAATTTTTAGCTCATTGGTACTTCATTCATTCATTCTCTACCTGCAATAGAGGCTCATTCAACTATTTGAGGTTGTCAATCCCAGCTTGTAATTAGTCTTTTTGCTGTGTTCCTGAGCATTAGCCTAGCCAGCCATGCCAAAGCAAAGGGCCTGGTGACGCTCCCATTCAGCCCCCCCCCCCCTCTTTCCGAATTTGAACTGAGCCAATCAGCGCTAAGCAGCGTACGTCACACACTGACACTCGGTTTCTCATAAACAACAAAGATGGCGTCTAAAACGGAGATCGCTGTGGCTGTTTCCTCTGTTCTAAGTAACTTGGACATGTCTTTAAATTCACAAAAGAAGCACTAAAAGCCTTTCCTCTAAAGAAAGATGTTTACGCTGTTGCCAGACGCCATCTTTGACTAGAGCGCTGTGCGATACAGTCGTCAGTTCTGCCTTTTATTTGACTGGTTATTTTTGAGCTGGTTAGTCCCGCCCCTCGTGGTGCTCTCTGCCTCTGAGATCCAGACCCGTCCTCTGTGTAGAGTGGACGGAGGGCGAGCCTGGCAGGCCAGGCTACTTGTAACGAGTGAGTGACGGGAGAAGCTGCGGCTGAAGTGATGCTTGTGTGTCTTTCTCAGACATGGTGGATTTCACTGACGAGGAGGGATACGGTCGCTACCTGGATCTCCATGACTGCTACCTGAAGTACATCAACCTGAAGGGAGCCGAGGTTGGGATCCTCACATCGTCCACGTGTGTGATTTGGATCCATGTATTCTTACTGCCGCTCCTGTCTTACAGAAGGTGGATTATATCAGTTACCTGACCTCGTTTGACCAGCTGTTTGACATCCCTAAAGACAGGAAAAACGCTGAGTATAAAAAGTAGGCCTTTCTCTGCGGTGTCACGTCCGACTCGACGGGTCAGAAAATCTTATGACACGACTTTGTTCAGGTACCTGGAGATGCTGCTTGAGTACCTGCAGGACTACACAGACCGGGTCAAACCTCTGTCGGACCAGAATGAGCTCTACAGCAAAGTGCTCGGAGACTTCGAGAAGAAGTGGGACAATGGCACCTTTCCTGGGTGGCCCGTAAGTCCAGAACTGTCTGCTGGCTCTGATGGGGCTCGCTGATCCCTCCTGACATGCTTGGCTTTTTGATTTTGCTCTAGAAAGAGACGAGTAGTGCTCTGACTCACGCCGGTGCTCATCTGGACCTCTCTGCTTTTTCTTCCTGGGAGGTAAGTAACCGGAATCTCCTGGTTGGAGTTAAAACTGAAGGTTGCTTCCTCACACACCTGTTTGTGTCACACAGGAGCTGGCCTCGCTGGGTCTGGACCGACTCAAATCTGCTCTCATGGCTCTGGGACTGAAGTGTGGAGGGTAAGAAATCTGGGACCAGAGTATGAAAAGTAGCACAAGGGGATCTCCACACAACACAAAAACGCAGTACAACAGTGGAGGACATGGTAGTGATGTTCTACGTTCTGTTTAGTCGTGGCTTTTTGTCAGACTCTCAAACCGGGAACAGCAGCGGGAGGAAAACTCTGGAGCAACTAGTGACTCTACCTCCTTGCCAGAGAACATCTCAGCAAGTAGAAGCTAACTGTTAGCATTAGCAACTCCACCACACAGCAGAACTTCTCAAGGTTTGTGTTATATGTGGAGATGAAACACAAAAGCACACAGTCAGTGGTATAGTCACGTTGCTGTTAGGAGAGATTAGATCTGTAGCGAAGCCTCGATGACGTCGACGGCTCGATTCTAAAAATTTGTCGCCGTCAGATCCGGTAGTCGACGCACCGCGCCCACTTGTTGCATCCCCAGGAGTTTGTAAATAGAGGAGGAATCTGCCTGGTTTTCCTCTAGTTCGCCCTCTTCTCCGCCTTCACTAACATCTCCGCCAAATACCGAAGACCCGGAACAATGTCCGTCCGCTGCTATATTCCTTTCCTGTTTTGCCCGCCTTCGTCTCCCGGCAACAGACAACAACTTCCGGGGTCAGATGCGCTGCTTCGTCTCTACCACAGATGTAGAAAATCACCGGGAGCGTTTCTCCCTTCATAAAGGAGCTTCTTTCAGACATGAGGAGAGCTGTTTTGGTGGTAGCAGACTCTCCTCCGCGCTGGTCTGTTTGCTGCTGGGTGTTTTTGGTTTATTTAAACTTGGTAACTTGAACTTAACGTTGGTAAAGCTACTGTTAGCATTTTCGCTAACAGCTTCTTGCGTTGGGATGAGCGTTTATGTTTTGGTTTAGAGTTCATCTTTTTTGTGGTGCAGATCTCCTTTTATTACATTTAGAGTGTTGTGGGTTTTCGGTTTAGTGTAAAATATCACCTTGAGTTTGGTTTAACCACCCAGTTTAGAGTTTGGACCTTTGGAGATCCATATTTTGGTCCAGAACCCTGTAATATTTGCCCAGTGGGACATCCCTAGTTATTTGTACTTTTGTTTTAATTCCCCACAGGCAGAATTAGTTTTATTATTCCCAACCTGTGGATGGAAAGGTTTATGTTTTTTGTTGTTGTAAATAAACCTGACCATCATTTTAACTTTAAAATCCCGTGTTATTGTCCCTTCCTTTTTGCACACGAGCCAAACTCCCCAGGAAGGGTCGTAACACCACTCGCCTCACGCACATAAGTGACCAAAACAAAGCAGCATGGAGACTCTCCGTCTCCATCCACCTCTCAGGCAGCAGCCTGCTCTCCCAAGTTCTACACGTCACCAGAACATAACCAACCGCAACACAATAAAAGCAGTTTTATACAAAATGGAAGGCCTGTAGTGTTTATTCTCTTACAGTAACAATTAATCAATTTTTTAGAGGAATTTATTTGTTTGTTTTTTGGTTTTTATTAACCGTGCAATAGAAGAATAAACACTAGATTAATTGTCTAAATAGTCATTAGAATAGTCGACTATTCGTCAGAATAATCGTTTTAGAAATAATCGTTTACCCCCAGCCCTAGGAGAGATGTCTGAATATCAGGAAACAGGATCTGCACCCCTCTCTCCTGGCTGCTTTCACACAAACTTGGACCTGGCGTAGGCACATTTCGGAGATGGTGACACATTTTCAGACTTGTAGACACACACACGCACAAAACCAACAAGCCCCCGCCCCAGTCTCTGAAATGGGAATAATTACATCTGTAATTATAATATAATGTTTTTTAGATATTACTTTCATATGTCTTCAGATTACTCATTGGTGCATCTCTAACTATAAACTAAAACGGCACCGCAGCAACCCGGGTGGAGGTGCATCTGTCGGTTTTCCTTGGACAGCGGCTCAGATGGAACACCGGCTCGTTCCGGCGGGAATTAGTTGACCGTCGGGCTGATGATTGTTTCAAATGAACAGTATTTCCTGCCTAAAGCCCTTTTTGGTTAAATGAATGTTTTCATAAAATGTATCAGTCCTTATTGACATTTTAGGCTCCATCTGACCAATTATTTAAATGTTTTTATTTGTTTATTGAGATCCCAACGCTCACTGCTGAGCCCCAGAGTGTGCATTACCGTCTTGGTCGTCATGGTTACCGGTGACATGCCATCACTTAGCAGGCATATTTGTATGCACAATATTCATAACGTAGTTTGCATTGGTCATTTATGGTGGAAAGTGGGTGTGTAGGAGGTGAGGTGTGATCCTGAAACACCTGAGCTCATTTCTCGGACAGGTGAAAATTATTTTTTTTTTTTTTTTTTTTTTTTTAACTGATTCCAAATAGAGTTTTAGCAATGATTTTAGAGAGTTAATCAGGTAACGCCTGTGATCTGGTGGGGGGTCCAGGTGCTGAGGTGGTGTTTCTGTCTTCTCAGGACTCTGGAAGAGAGAGCTCAGAGACTGTTCAGCACTAAAGGAAAATCCCTGGAATCCCTCGACCCGTCATTGTTTGCCAAGAATCCCAAAGCTAAAGGTCCTAAGAAGTAGGTGGTGCCAGAGTTCGCCCTGCCGTGTGACTTTTATCACTCTAACGTTCTTCTCTTCTCCCGCAGAGACACGGAGCGAAACAAGGAGATCGGCTTCCTGGAAGCTCAGGTCTACGAGTATGTGGAGATTCTGGGGGTGAGTCCACTTCGTGGGAGGTGGCTTTTGTTTCCAATCTGTTGGTCTTTATGGCAACTTTGAGTTTCCTGTTCGGAATCAGGAGCAGAGGCAGCTGACCCACGAGAACGTCCAGAGGAAGCAGGCTAGGACAGGCGAGGAGCGAGAGGAGGAGGAGGAGGAGCAGCTGAGTGAGAGCGAGAGTGAAGACGAAGACAACGAGATCATTTACAACCCCAAGAACCTGCCGCTGGGCTGGGACGGAAAGGTGAGCCCATACATGTGACTTTCTGCTGTCAGGTCAGAGAGCTGCATGATCCTGTTAGCTTCGGGGTCAGTGAAGCTGCTTAGGCCACACCCCTTTTCTCTGGTTTTCCTGATCCATCTGATCCTTTGTGGGTTTTATCCTCCAGCCTATCCCGTACTGGCTCTACAAACTCCACGGTCTGAACATCAACTACAACTGTGAGATCTGTGGAAACTACACCTACAGAGGGCCCAAGGCCTTCCAGAGACACTTTGCGGTACGGCCGTCTCCCTCGCGTACCACAGGTATCACATGTTCTGAGTTTTTCAGCGAGGGATAAAATCTCTGGTTGTTTTTGTAGGAGTGGAGGCACGCACATGGGATGCGCTGTCTCGGAATCCCCAACACGGCTCATTTTGCTAACGTCACACAGATCGAGGACGCTGTCGCTCGTAAGTCCAGGTTCAAATGAACCATCAGGCGCATTTCTGCGGTTCTGTGACGTGTTTTGTGTTTTAACTCCAGTGTGGGCAAAGCTGAAGTCCCAGAAGGCGTTAGAGCGGTGGCAGCCCGACACAGAGGTACGGGAACATGCTAACAGGTGTAGGACAGAATGCTTCCAGATCCCATCAGTCCTCTCATCTCAGGAATTCTGTTCTTCCCAGGAGGAGTACGAGGACTCTATCGGGAATGTGGTGAACAAGAAAACCTACGAGGACCTGAAGCGCCAGGGCTTGTTGTAGAGCGGCAAAGATGTCAAGTTTTTTAGTTTAGTCTTGTGTTTTTATTTGTAATAATGTTTAACAGACTCTTCCTTTGACCCATTAAAACGGCCATTTATGGACCAAGTAAACTGTACTTTTGGCTCTGCGCTGCTCTGTTAGCGACTGAACACGTCAGACACCTGTTTAAAGATCAAAACCCCAGAATCTCACTAAGGTAACTTAAACTGTCTAACGTGATAATGAAGAGGAATGTGTTACTCAGGTGTGTCCTGTCGTCAGCATCACAGGTGTCTTCAGTCTGCCTGTTAGTAGGTTGTGCCATTTGGAGGTCATCTCCAAGGTCTCATCACACCATTCATCAGGGTCAAAGTGGACGTAATGAAAGACAATGGAGGACACTGGGGCTAGAAGGAAATACTAAAAGCATTTAAAGTTTATTTATACAGCGCTAAATCACGACAAGAGTCGTCTCAAGGCACTTCACACAGTAAACATTCCAGTACAGGTCAGTTCATTAAGCCAATCAGTAAAAAGTTTCCTATATAAGGAATCCAGCAGGTTGCATCGGGTCACTGACTGGTGTCAGTCCTGTAGCGACAGTGGAGAGGAAAACTCCCTTTTAACAGGAAGAAACCTCCAGAGGGTCCTGGCTCAGTATAAGCAGCCATCTGACCGCCATGACTCACTGGGGATGGAGAAGACACATGCACTCTGAAGGCTACTCTGGACTGATGAGACAAAGCTGCTTGTAGGAGCCAGAATAAAGATTTTTGTTGGGTGTATCGATCACGGCTCGTCAGCAAAGTCATTGAAAACACACAGTTTGATGGTGGGAAGCCTTAAAAAGGAACATCCCATGGCTGTTTATTCCCTGGTGGTTGTACTAGAGGCCCTTTTTGGTACTTGAACCACTTGTCGATTGATTTGTTTATGTCATGTTTATTTATTTAGCAGATGCTTTTAAGCGACTTACAATTTATAACCTATAGGGCATGTTGTGATCTGTGGGGGAAACCGGAGCACCCGGAGGAAAACCACACATGCATGGGGAGAACACGCAACTCCACGCAGAAAGGCTGCAGCCGAGTATCGAACCTGCAACCTTCGTGCTGCGAGGCAACAGTGCTAACCACTGCGCCACCATGCAGCCCTATCAATCATGTAAGATGGCTCCTCTTCTCGCTTTAGCATCTGTTGAGCGTGTACGGGGCCGTCAGTGCACCCTTCTTGTGTGCTGATGGTTACAAGGTCCCCTTACGCCTGAAGAAACTCCTCTCAGCTCCATTGAGCTGTCTACATTTTGCCCCCCTCCTTTTGCTTCTGAAGAACCAAGTAGCTTCATCTTGTGTGCATGGTGTATCTACGCCAACCACATTCGGAGTAAATGGCTGTATGATCAGCTGATTGTGTTATGCCAATCCATGCTCAGACAAAGCTTTGTCCAGAGAGAGTTACTAGGTTGTAAAGGCTATTTGGCTTGTTTAAATGATAAATGACCTTCACTTGAGTAGCGTCTTTCTGAGTCACAAAGTGCTTTACACACACTGGTGGTGATGAACTACAGTCAGGTCCATAAATATTGGGACATTGACACAATGCTAACATTTTTGGCTTTGCACCACCACAATGGATATCAAATGAAACAAACAAGATGTGATTTAACTACAGACTGTCAGCTTTGAGGGTACTTGCATCCAAATCAGGTGAACGGTGTAGGAATTACAACAGTTTGCATATGTGCCTCCCTCTTGTTAAGGGACCAAAAGTAATGGGACAGAATAAGAACCATAAATCAAACTTATACATTTCAATACTTGGATGCAAATCTGTCTGGAACACAGACATCACCAGACGTTGGGTTTCATCCCTGGTGATGCTCTGCTAGGCCTCTACTGCAACAGTCTTCAGTTCCTGCTTGTTCCTGGGGCATTTTCTCTTCAGCGAGTGAAATGCATGCTCAATCGGATTCAGGTCAGGTGATTGACTTGGCCTTTGCAAAACCGTCCACTTCTTTCCCTTCAAAAACTCCTTGGTTGCTTTGGGTCATTGTCTAGCTGCACTGTGAAGCGCCGTCCAATGAGTTTTGAGTCATTTGGCTGAATGTGAGCAGATAATATTGCCCGAAACACTTCAGAATTCATCGTGCTGCTTTTGTCAGCAGTCACATCATCAATAAATATAAGAGAACCAGTTCCACTGGCAGCCATACATGCCCATGCGATGACACTTCCAGCACCATGCTTCACTGATGAGGTGGTATGCTTAGGATCATGAGCAGTTCCTTTCCGTCTCCATACTCTTCTCTTCCCATCACTCTGGTACAAGTTGATCTTGGTCTCATCTGTCCATAGGATGTTGTTCCAGAACTGTGAAGGCTTTTTTAGATGTTGTTTAGCAAACTCTAATCTGGCCTTCCTGTTTTTGGGGCTCACCAATGGTTTACATCTTGTGGTCAACCCTCTGTTTTCACACTGGTGGAGTCTTTTCTTGATTGTTGACTTTGAAGAAGAAAAGAATAAAATTTCATTTCTATAGCGCCTCTCAAGATAAAAATCACGAGGCGTTTCACAAAAACAAAAAAATGTAAAAAATATTTTAAAAAATTTAGAAAACGATCAAAATATATTCAAAATGAGCAAAAAAAATAGACAATTGTGATTAAAAAAATTTAAGAAAGAGAGAGAGTGAATAGGAAAGAGGGAAAGCAGTGGATCCTGAGGAAGGTGGAATAGGTGGGGAGAGCAGAATAAAGAGAGAGTGGTGAAGAAGGTCATACAAAAGCCAGCTTGAACAAGTGAGTCTTCAGCTGCTTTTTGAAGGAGACCACTGAGTCCACTGATCTCAGGCTCAGGGGGAGAGAGTTCCAGAGTCTGGGGGCCACAGCAGCAAATGATCTGTCACCCTTGGTCTGTAGCCTGGTGCTGCACAACCAGTAGGCTTTGGTCACTGGACCTCAGGGACCTGCTGGGGGTGTAGGGACTAAGAAGATCACCAATGTAAGATGGTGCTTGTCCATGTAAGGCCATATAGACCAGAACCAGGATCTTGAAATGAACCCTGAAGTTGACTGGCAGCCAGTGAAGCTGGAGGAGAAGCGGGGTGATGTGGGTGTGTTTGGAGGACTTGGTCAGAAGCCGAGCACAGGCGTTCTGAACCACCTGTAGACGGTTCAGGGAGGTTCTGCTCAGACACGTGAAAAGAGAGTTACAGTAGTCTAAGCGTGAGGAGATGAAGGTGTGGATAACTGCCTCAAGTTCAGAGCGGGACAGAATGGGACTCAGCTTAGCAACGTTCCTGAGATGGAAGAAGGAAGAGCGAACAAGAGAACTGACATGAGAATCCAGGGTGAGAGCTGGGTCAAAGGTCACGCCAAGATTCCTGACAGAAGGTTTGGTGTGAGAATCAAGCTGACCAAGAGAGTCTCTGACTTTGGGAACCAGCTTGTCTGAGGCACAGATGAGGATCTCAGTCTTATCTTCATTCAGCTGAAGAAAGCTCCCAGCCATCCAGGTTTTGATGGAGTCTAAGCAGGTGTGTAACAGCTGCAGCTTAGACATCTCATGGGGCTTAAAGGAGATGTACAGTTGGATGTCATCTGCATAAAGATGGTAGGAGATTCCTCTGAAGGAGCTCAGGATGTGCTGAAGAGGAAGCAGAGAGGAGGAAGTGTAGAGGCCCCAGCACAGAACCTTGTGGGACACCATGGGTGATGGGTGAGAGGTGGTGGAGGACCTAAACTTGGAGACGGCCACAGAAAAGGAGCGCTCAGAAAGATAAGAGGAGAACCACTCCAGAGCAGTTCCTGATAGGCCTACCCAGTCTCTCAGCCTCTCCAGTAGCAGGTGATGGTCAACAGTGACAAAGGCTGCAGTCAGGTCCAGCAGGACCAGAACAGAACAGTCCCCTGCATCACTGTGAGTCAGAAGGTCATTAGAGACCCTAAGAAGAGCTGTTTCAGTAGAATGAGCTCTACGAAAACCTGACTGGAAGCTATCATAGATGTTATGTTCATCAAGAGTAGCTGTGAGTTGTTTAGCCACAACCTTTTCCAAGATCTTGGAGATGAACGGAGATGAAGTTTAGAGATGGGTCTGAAGCTGCTATGGAGAGAGGCGTCAAGACTTGGTTTTTTAAGATGCGGGTGGATTACAGCGTTCTTAAAGTAAGCAGGGACCTGACCAGTGTAATGGTGAGGTCCCTGCAATTCACGCGTTGGTCACCACACCATCTCTGATGCGCTGACTGTTAAGGAAGGTCACTGGCTGATGCTCAGTTTCAATGATGATTTTCTGTCCAACGATGTAGCTAGAAAAGTGTTTAACCGCCCACCTGGTGGAAAGCAAAGCTTTTTCACAGCCAGAGTACTTTAACTCAGGACCGGACAAGAGCTTACTAGCATAGGCTACGACACGCCTGTCGCAGTCATAAACTTGGTAGAGACCGGCACTCAAACAGTGAGATGAGAAAACGACCTCAAGGTGGAACTCTTTGTCACAATCGGGGAGCGCCAAGCACGGAGCTGAGCATAACACGGCCTTCAGATCATCCATGGCCTGTTGCTGCTGCTCAGTCCACTCGAAAGGCACACCCTTCTTCAGTAGTGAAGAAATACACTCCTTGATGTCAAATGGTTTTATTGACAAGGATGAAGGAGCCCTGCGGCGACATACAAAGCTGAGTGAGCAGAAGCTAACGGCAGCATGAAGCAGCAGCATGGGCTGAAGACCAAAGCTAAGCAATGTGATAAAATAGGTAAATAAATGCAGAGTGGCTTAGCATGCATACTGACAATGTGACCATTACATTAGCTTAACAAGCAGGTGAAGACTTACAGATACAAGTCGAACAGTAGCATAGATAGACAGCAGTGTGATGGTTGAGCAGCAGCAATCCAACTGAGATGCAGTGGTAATCCAAATGAGAAGCAGCAGTAAGTACAGTGAGGGATAGTCACATGTACGCGACTTCGGGCACATCCCTGAATACAACTTTTTCCCTCGAGGCTTGATCGCAGCACACCCTAGTGGCCAGTGGTGACCTCTGCATCCCCCCTGTCCAGGAAGCCGTGTGACACACCGGCGCAGTGGACTCATGACCTAACCCACTGGCCAGTTTCAGGTACATACCGCTTGG